TATTCTTATTTGAAATCGGTTACACACATATATAGTTTACGTGTTTATTTGTAAGTTTTATATAACCTTTTTTTATGTTATGTTTGCAACTCAAATTTATATTCATTCAATCATAAGTAAAATCCGTAATGACTGTAATTGGAAAATGAAAAATGCAGATAAGTATAATCATCTAAAATCCAACTAATGTAATTGGTTACATAAGTAGGTTGTAGTTCCTAAATCAAGTATAAATATAATCGGTTGTAATAACTAAGAAGTGGAATTTATTCATTCATGGAAATAGATGAGGTGAGGGTGGACTAAGGGCTTGTTAGCAATTACTTAAGTTTAATTCAATTCAATTTTGTGTATTTTACCTAATACCAGTTCAATTGAATTTTCCAACTCCAATCATTTTCGTACATAGCTCATTCATTTCGATTCTTCTTTTGTATTTCAATTACACTCAATCTTTTATTTTTTCTTATTTTAGCTTTTTTCAGTACCAGTTCCTATTGATTCAATACACTTTTTTGCAGCTCTATTGTGTTTAATTATGTTTATTCCAACTCAACTAAGTACGTTATAAAAGTCCCGAATTATGTTCATGAAATGCTGTAATGAACTATTTCATTTAACACTGATAGAGAATATTCATAGAATATTCTCATCCTAGGTTTAGGTAATATTATCTCACATGGTATCACAGCTTAGGTTAGATCTTGGGATCATATACAAAAATTCTCACTCTGCCGATGGGTTAGAAAATTAAACCCACCGGCGGGATATACGAAGTTTTTTATGCTTCTCCAAACACACATATAGATTTTTTTTTCTTTTCTCAAAGTTTTTTTAGAATCTTTATATAACCTTGCGCCTCCTACCAACAGTAGCAATTGCGAAAGCCTCCTCCATCGTTGTTGGCAATCGCATACAGTACCGCCTCCCACTACTGGTAATAACCACATCTGCCAACCTACTCCATGTGCCACACTCTATTTCCACCTCCCCATGACCAACAATGATTCTTACATTGCCTCATTAGTTTTTTTTTTTTTCACATAATCACATAGATTTTGTTTTGGTGGTGGTATATCACAATAAGGTCAACTTTTGCACATCTCTTTTGCTATCAAGCTAGCTCCTTTTATTGTTGCAGCACTTGGAATCTTTGTGGAGTATTAATTCTTGCTACCTGGTTTCTCTTTTGAGAATTGATTAATTTCAAGCGGTGGGATTTAATCTTTTCTTGCGCAATTTTTTTTTGTTTTTATTCAACTGTGATTTCACGTAGTAGTGTAGTGTCTTCTCCCCGATGATGGTTTGATCCGTTAACTTATTCTTCTCTGGATCTGCAACTTGGCCCAAGTATATGCGTGACTCTTCTCCTTCGGCCTAAAAGCGCATATCTCTACTATACGTAGGTCGTGGTTTTTGCTTCTCATCGTCATCACCATCACACGTCTACTACTTCTCTTTTGATCATGGGTTACTATATTATCCTTACCGTTCGATGCGTGATTCAGATCCAGTCCGAGCATCCGATTTTCTCCCGCTCTGACTGCGGGGGTGTGATAGAGAATATTCATAGAATATTCTCATCCTAGGTTTAGGATATATTTTGTATAAGATTATCTTTGATATCTGTACATATCTTATAGTTACCTAATATGATTAGGTTTCTGATTGTAACCGTATAAATATTGATCAATGGAAATCACTCTAAGAGAGGAGTTTTCCCGAAATCTAACAAACACATTAAAATGAATTTACGGTGTATATTGCCATTTTTTACTCCTTTTTCAAAAAAATAAAAAAATAAATCAAAAATTGACTTTAAATTCTATTAATGCAGTTGATGTTTCTATACTTGAAAAAAAATTAACCCAACTACTGTCCACCAACTTATTAAATTCCTTCTTCACAAAAAAGAATTAAGAAGCTTGAAAATTATTTACACTTAGCTTTAACTCACTTTTTATTCCCCCTTCACTCCAACTCTGTCTGTCAGTTGCACCCAAACAAAAAAAAAAAAAAAATTTAACTCCTGAACTTGTTTCAAACTCTTCTCCAAACACTACTGCCAACACCATTTTCACACCATGTTCCATGTGCAAAGAGTTCAATACCAAAACAAGAAAAGGCCACTCAGGTCAACCTCTCACAGCAGCCGTTTCAAAAAATTAGTTCGTGAGTCAAACAGCCGTCTGCGCGTGCCTGACATCCAGGATATTGACCCTCTTATCCCCAACTGTTTATTCGGACCCGTGGGTGGATCAAACCCTACGTCGCCGGATTTCGACAACATGCTAGCACTCCAAGTCCGACGTCTTGAGGAACCCCGGTTGAGAACCACCAATCGGATTAAAAAAATGTTTAGATGGCCTGGTGTTTCCAAAAAGGTACTTCTGAAAAGGGAACCAAGCTTCAGGTTCCCCATCCTAACACCATCTTTGTTCTCAACCTTGGGACTGCGTGAGGCGCCAGCTACACCCCCAAGTTCTCGTTGCGGATCGGGTCGATTTGGCAGGGTTCAGCCAATTCCGACTTTAGGGCAACTACTGAGTGAAAGAAAGAGGTCGTTGGGCAAGGTGAATGGGAAATTTGAGGCAGCACAGGACGGTGATTGTACTGGAAAGGTGGTTCCGGACTATGGTTCTGTGGAGAAAGTTCCTGCACGTGGAGCACGGAAGTTGTGGAAGGTTGGCCTTTTTTTCAAGTGCTTCGTGTTTCCTTGAATTTGAACTCCAATTTAGCAATCTCCCTAGGGTTTTAAATTAAGAAACAAAAGTTTAAGTAGTAATGATATGCTTGTTATCTAAAACTATGACAGGGTAATGTTTAAATTTTTTGTATAAAACAAAAATCATATGACGGATTTAGGTGTTAAGAATGTAATGATCAACTTAATTTAGGAAAATTGCGAAATGTTGGGAATCTAGGGTTTTGGTTTGCTTTTATTATTCTAATAGTATTTTCTGGATTAAACCCCCATTTTGTTGTAGCACTTTTAGTATGAAATTAAATATGATTGTACTGTAGATGAATTCATGTTATTACTAAAGTCATTACTGTTTGTGTTTGGTAATATATGATTATATGAATATTGTGTGGTCCTACTTTAAGAAGGTTCAATATTTATGTCAAATTGTTATGATTTATTCTGACTTAAGGTGAAATTGTGAAGTTGAAAGGAAATGAAGAATTTATATAAATTTTGTGTTTTTTGGTTCAGATATTGATTATAAATTGCTTAGTGTTAAAAAGTCTGGATCTTAAAATATTCTATTGAAAATTTTGTTTGTACAACATGAATCTATTAGAAACGGGTATGGACCGAAATACGGGTCAGATATAAGGTATTATTAGTATGGATCATTATACGGGTCTCGTATAATGGCCACCCCCGGAGTAAGAAATGTTTGTACTATTCTTATTTTGTAAAGATCCAAGTTTGTTGGGCCCAACCATAAAAACACCAAAAGGCCCAAATCAGTAGAAATGTTGCAACTGCTAAAAACACCAAAAGGCCCAAATCAGTGTAATGGCCATCCACGGAGTAAGAAATGTTTTTCTGCATCAACAAGGCCCGCTCACTGACATTGGTGAATGGGTTCAGTTTAAGTGAAGAAATTAAATAACCAATTAAGAATTTTTTTACTTACATTTTTTTGGACATTATTGAACAAATAAAATATTTACCGTGAACAATATTTGTTTTTGAAAATTTATTATTGTTGTTTGAACCAAATAAGCAGAAAGTTGGCCGTTTTTTTTTCCAAGTGTGTGGAAAATTTAGCCAACACAAATTTAGTCATCACCATTGTCAAAATTAAACGCAAATAATTTTCCTTAAACAGGGGTTCGGATATGGTCCTTCCTTACAAAAAAAATAAGCTAGCTCTCCCACTTCATTGTTCTCAAAGTGTGTAGTTCTCAAAGTAGTTACTCCTAAAAATTGGAAAATATTTTTGTTTCCCAAAATAAGCTTATACGTAATCTTATATAAGGGCATTTTCCACAAAACATATAAGTGACCCCTTTTATGTTATAGGGAATGCGTGCGTGCATATACGCAATAGATTTTCTAAAAACACACATAGAAGTTGTTATATAAATGTTTTCAAATACAACGATAAATGAAAATAAACCACGAAATACTTCGCTTAACACCCACTTAATACATAATTGTTCGCTTAAAACCCTTGATACTTCGCTGAAACCATGGAAAACATAATAGTATGCTTTAAAGTAACGGAAAACAAGAAGTAGATGATGATCTGTAACCGATTAAATAGATAAAGGTGTCTGCATTGTGCGGATCCTTCCCAAAAACCGCCTATGAAATTTGCCCCGATCGAGTTCAACGCTTCATGTGTCTGCCTTCCATTTCTTCTGTGCAATGAAAAACAACTTCATAAGGCTTCATATTAGTGACTAGGAGACTACCAACAACACACATAATTGACTTGCTACAACACATATAGCACAGATCTTACCGGATTTTTGCTACCTTGGCTTTTTCCTTCACATCCAACGGGGACCAAGTCATTTAAATATTTCAACTTCGGGGCCTAATTTTCATTCAATATGAATCAATTTAATTAGTGAGAAATGCTAAATATTTTTGTATGCATCAGTAACTAAACATATTCAACCGCAGATAGCTGTAGATATTATTACCTTGTGACCTTGTTTCGTTGCTTGTGTGGTGTTCCTTCCGTTCGCAACATTCTTCTTCTTACTTTGTGATTTTTGTCCTTATTTAGGACCCTTACTGGTGCTGCTTTTTCTTGCCCCATTTTTGCTAGAATTCCCTTTCGTTTCCTCCTTGTTGGTTACTTGTGTGACTTTATTTTTGGTAGTCCCTCCATTACACATTTTCTTCGATTTGGTCACTGGTTTCTTGAACCCCATCTCCGCAAGAGTCTTTTGTCTTGATCCCTTTTCCTACCCCGGGGTTTTTTCTGCAACAACGGATCTTTAACTGCAAAATCGCAGTTACGAGGACAGATATCTTATCCTACGGTTTCGTCGTTAGCATTTGAAAATGCATTTCTCGATTCAGGGACTACCGTTTCTGAGTCAAGTGCATCTTCTAGGAAAGACATTTCAACGCTTTCCTCTAACTTGTGACGCTTGCACTGCTGCACTTCTGACCTCAGATGAGATATAGCATTGGACACCAATTGCACAGCCTCATCATTGACCATAGCTTCTTCATCGCACAATGATTCAAACTCACCTATTAGCCTATTATACCTTTGTACCTCCACTTTGTCACTAGGATCATGGTACGATACCCGAACTCGAGTGTGTTTTCTTAGGATATCCTTTCGCCAACGACTAACAATATACTGGTCAAGTATTTCTAAAACGAGATTCTGATCCAGTATCCTCATCATATGCTTACACATAATACCATGAGTTGTGAATTTCCGGCAATCACATAAAACCTCCTTCGTTTGCTTGTTAAAAGTGGCGGTGTAATATCGTCTTTGATTAGTAATTACTTCCTTAGTCTGCCCCTCGGGCACAACCCACACTCGATCTTCTACGACATATTGAATTGTATTTTTATTCAACATCTTCTCCTCCTTGCAGTAGCAGTACATCATTCGTGAGCATTCTTCTTGTACCTCTTGGAACTTGGTGTCGGTATACAACTTCTGAAACACCCTCTCAACGGCAAAACCAGTAACTAGCCTCCTAACATATTTCACACAATTGGCATCCGCGGCTGTCTCATCACGCACGCGTTTCTCCAGGGCCTTAGCATACTTTTGTGGAAATTCAAACAGCTTTGTATGTCGATTCACAAAGCCATCAAAAAAGCTGTTTACGCTCTCAACCCGTTGTGTGGTTTTCATGCCAGCCCAAAAGTGATATCTCATATAAGCTGGAACCCACATATGCCGGTCCTTATATAGGCTAGTTAACCAATCATTACCCTCCAGTTTGAAATCAATAATAAGTCCATTCCACCGACACTTAAACTCTTCAACGGTCAAACTCTCATACACCACAGCCTTCAATAAACCCTTGAAATATTTGTACCTTTGAAATGGAAAAAATATTTTCAAAATATAAAACATTTAACACATTTAATAAACATCAAGAGAGGAATGGGAATATAGTACTAACCTTTCACATTTACCGATTTTTTCCGGAATCTTCCTCATCATGTGCCAAATGCACCAGCGATGTCGGGTAAGAGGCATGACCTCCTCAATAGGCTTTCGCATCGCGGCAGCTTGATCAGCAAGAATTGCCTTTGGAGCCCGGTTATTCATAAATGACAACCATTCCTGAAATATCCATTTGAATGTATCACAATCCTCACGAGAAACCAAAGTACACCCCAGCAAAATAGATTGGCCGTGGTGGTTAACCCCAACAAAATTAACAAAGGGTAGTTCATACTCATTTGTCAAATATGTGGCGTCGAAGCAAACAACATCCCCAAATTCTTCATAGGCTGCACGGCTCCGCGCATCAACCCAAATAACATCTTTCAGCCTTCCATGTGGATCTAGGCGTTATGCATGATAAAAATTTGGGTTCGCTGCCTGCATTTTTTTTAAAATAGGACATCATTGCAGCTGAATCACCTCCAACCATTTTCAACCTCCGTTCCTTATAAACCACGTGCGACAAATCTTTCACGGATAATTGCACCCTCCGTTGGTCCCCTTGTATTTCTGTACCTAAACAACCGTGAATTTGCGAAACAGGAACACCTTCATCAAAGTAGTTCAACAAATTCCTCCTCACCCTTTTAGTTAACCCCTTAATTCGATACTCTTTAACCAAGTTGGCCTTACGAGGTGTTGGTAAATGATTAGTATGCTCCAACTCCACTCCGTTCACTACCCATTCTCCTTCACGATTAACACTAGCATACACCTTCGCCTTACACTCGCACTTTTTAGACTTTCGCTTGCGTTGACTCAATTCATCAGCACAAACAATATCGTCAATAGCGCCCCCTGTACCAGATACATCCATAGCGCTAGCCCTTTTTCGTGCTTCCCTCAACGCCCTCATGTCCGGTCGCCCCCAACACTCACACCTCCACGTAGTGGATATACGATCCCTCCCTCCCCTTTCGAATAAACACCTTGTGCTCTAGTCACTCCAAAACCCTGTTGCTGGGCATATTCTTTATAGTACGCCTCTACATCTTGCCACGTCTTAAAAACCATTCCCACCTTAGGAGGCTCTATTGAGGAAGCAGCACTAAACTGATTACTAGCGACGACTGTGTTTAAGGTATCCATTGTGTTTATTGGGGATTGGAATTGCACACCATTACTAAGTTCATCGCACCCCTGAGTCATTGGAGATGTTGGACAACCACCATTTCCAGAATTTCCAAAGTCCTCAGGACCACCTTCACCTTCGCTCAATATGTCTTGAACCTCCATATATTCAATCACACTGTCTTAAAGCTCAGCTCACAATCTCGGCTCCCAGCAGTTAGTTCCTAATAAAAATTAATACCATGTGTTAAAAAATGGAATCTCAATAGTTGTACTACGTTATAAAATTTAAACTACAGAGTTAAAAATAAATATTCTATGTTCCTAATATTAAGGGTAAGTTAGTTGTGATTATAAATTTTTTTTTTTTACTAATTCAGCTTCTACAACATCACAAACACGATGTAACATCCTCCATCCAAACTCAAACACTTCTTAAAACATAATCAACAACATACAACCACTACAACTCTAGTTCATACCTATTGAAGCTATGTGCTCTTATATTTCTATTAAATTTTCAACACAATTATGTGTTATATATAATTTTGTAATTACGTTTGTTTAACACTTTAATAAATAGGTCGTTTAACTATGAATCACACAAAGTAGTTTTCCCCAAAAGTGCAAATTTTACCACCTACCGTCTTCTCTACATCTTACTCATATACTTATACATATACTCATATATATACACTATAATATAGACTACAAATTAAATATACTACAATACAGAATCGAAATCATAAGTTGCTTACATTATCGAATTTGCATAATTTCCCTTGCAAAATAGATCAAGTCTACCTAGTTTGTAATTCGATTTATGTAAAAAAGATTATAAAATCATCAACAAACACGCCAATTGTATATCAGTTTGATCTATATACTACCTATCACATATTTTAAAAGCAAAAGAATTTTTAACGAGAGCTGTTTAAAAACCATTTACGGCAGTTTAAAAACCATGTAATTACGAAATAGATCACAAAAAATGATACAAATCTGTTCAAATATTTGTAATGCTCAAATACTAAACTGGCCGTAACGATTAATTCAGTATGCCATACAGATTTGAGCATGAACGGATCCGATCTTCATACTTCTAGCTCCAAAATATTAGTTAAGAAAGAAGGGATAAATTTTTTTTTTCTTTTATTTCAAACACGTAACCAAAATTAGGCTACACCACATATTTTATTTTATATCATTCATAAAACACAAACTTCTTGCCCAAGAAATGTTGAGTACGTACACCCAATTCATTCATGGCTTTCAAAGCTGCCAACAACGCAAGTAATTAGTTCAATATCAAGCTTGTTTATGAAGATACACAACAACGGCGTTAACGAATGGAACTTGCGGAGTTAACTTATCAAACTTGCGGCGTTATCTTTATCACCAAATGACTCAGCATACAGTCATGCCGATGGCTTACTTGGATTGCTTACTCAACGCTACCTACTGACGACTGCTGAGCTAGCGGCGAAGATTTACAAGGTGAAAAAATCATAAAGATCAACTGGGCAGCCCTCTTTTTTCACCTTCAGTCCCTCTAGAGTATGAAGGCCATAAAACTACTATAAGAGGTTGGAAAATAACAATACAAAAGACAGTATGACATGTACATCGAATTACTCAATATAAACTTAAAATCTTTGATTAGTTGGTTAATATGTACTTATAGATAAACTGGAATCAGGTTCAAGTTTTCATGTATTATACTTAGAAGTCTCAAAGATGAGAAACCCCAGATAGAACAGATTTTGGCCTGGCCAAGCAAAAAACCAAGTCTATACAGCATTCATTTACAAAAAGCTCAGCATCCACAAACAGAGTTGCCCTCAGTTTCGTACCAACCCAATCCACGTAACCTAGATGTCCTATAAGCAAGATCATAACCAAAAACCAGCATATGCACCTAAAACAAACAATCTCTTTACTTGACAATGGATTTCGTATTCACAAGCCCCCCATTCAAATTCTTCTTCCAAGTGTAGACTTTAATCATTTAATGCCAAGTCTTGGGTCCTTGCACGAAGAGAGGCTACCTCTTGCGCATTTAGTTTTGGCGGTTTTGGCCTGCACAATTACACACCAATCCAACCCCAGTTAAGTACTACCAGAATTTCAGCTGGAATAGAAAAAACAAGAGGGTAGACAGACACTCACACAGCAGACGAGATGACTGAAGCAACTTGAGCCGGAGATGAAGAACTGCAAATTAAAATATCACACACAGCCATAACCATAAGCAAGCTTTTACATGCATATTTTTAACAACTAGCCAACACGCAAGAGTATAACTCACCCTGCTGCACTAGCCCATACTGGTTTGGGCATCAAATTGCGCTACAAGCCAAAACATACAACCGTGTTAAAAAAACAGCAAAATATAAAAACAACATTGTATCAGTAACTCAGTAAGAGTACTATATCAGACTAATTGGTGAATACCCACCATTATCGGGGCGGCAATAACACCAATTTTTCCATTTCCCACAACGTTTAGCTCCCGCAAAGTGCTATGTTCACACTTTAAATACCGTCTCCGGTTAACAAGAATTTGAGTTGCAGCAGGGAAGTCATTCGCTCCAAACACACCTTCAATTTTTTTCTTGAGATCAGAAATCTGAAACAAGTTGATATATGGTTTTTCTTGAGATTGAAAGAGGCACAAAGACAATATAATGATATATGCCTTTTATATTCATTCATATACAATGCAATAGTCAAGTTATATCATACTTGTATAGAATTAATTAGATGGTTTTATTATTCTAACTTGAAATTAGGATTATCAATACGATTCTATTTTGTTTTTTTGGGGGTTTAGATTCTACAACTACAAATTCCAAATTCAAATAAACTATCCATTCATCAAATTCAAAGTTGCGCCAATTTGCATAAAAACAACAGATTCATCAAACAAAAAACACTAATTTCATCCACAAACAAATAAACATGAAAATTAATTCCACCATATAGGCAGACCTTATCGTCAGGGTTGACTTCAATCTCGATTCGAGGTGTTCCTAACCCCTGGATTTTAACCTTCATTCTTTATTTCTCTCTCTCCCAAAAACAAACCCTAATCACAAAGCCAAAGTGAAGATATTTCTGTATAAGATAATGATCACCCAGTTCATTCGATTCAATATAGGGGTGTGAATTAGGGGATTGGGCTGGACTGTGTGGATTTCAATCCAAATATCAACGATCCAAATCCAATTCAAATTGATATACTCTGTACTTTGTACTTATATACTCCCTCTATTTTTTTTAAATGCCCCACTTCAACTTGGCACGCATGCCAATGTAGAATTTTGACCAATAATATTTTTAATTATCGATAAGTATAAATTATAAAAGATTGCTATTTTGGAACTATACATTGGGCGGCCTTCATCAAACCCCATGTTTTCTCTTGGTGCTCTCCTGTAAAACGGAGATTCTTCCGGGATTTCAAACTGACGGAGATCAATTCCCGAGTTTCGAAATCTATACCAATCCGGGAGCCCTCGAATAAAGTTTGTGTAGAAGGGATACTCGGCTGGGCCGTATAGCACCCTTATTCCATCTTCTTCTACTTCGTCCAGCCTTCTCCTCACTCTCCTTCTTGCTATCATCGAGTGAAGCTTGCATCTATAAGTCGAGTGACCGACGCACCCACAAGACTTGCAGAACTTGTAAATGCCCTCATATCTCAAATACACCCAAATTACCCGATTACCTTCAAGAGGTATAAAACACCCTGGGATCAGCGGGATAGAGAGGTCGATCAAGATTCGAGCCCTTAGTTCAGCATGGGCAGGGAGACCATCTCCTGCATGGTCGAGTTCTTCAATATACCCCACGTGCCTAAATATTTGTCTCACCCAACTTTCAATGAGGTAGGCAAGGGGGAGACCGTAAACCCTTACCCAAACACTCGTGAGTGTAAAGCTCATATATTGGGGCGCAAGATCAACCTCGTACCTTCGAAAGTTAATTATTCTCCCATCGAAGGCTTAGTTTTTTGTGGGCATTCAAATTTTCCATGAATTTTATTTTGGACTTTGATTGACACAAAAAAGTAAAAATGGGGGCAATGCCGATTCTCGGGAATTTTGACTTCCCTGGCCACATGGGACTTAACTTACTCAATCCCCTCTTGATAAGTTACAATTCCTATGGGAATTTACTTCCTCCATTTTAACCAAATATATTTCATGAATTCCCACGTAATTTCATGAGAATTTTCACTTCCCTAATGAACCAAATGAACCTTTAGTACTTCAAAAAATAAAAACCTCCTTAAACCCCCTTCAAAACAAATAAAAACGGCCACCATTTCAGCCAGTGGCGGAGCCAGCAGGGTAGAAGGCTGTTCCCCCACTTTAAAAAAAAAAATAGCTTATAAATGTATTTGTGAGCAGAATTAAAACATTTAAGCATGAAGATGTTAGTGGTTTAATTGTGGATTATAGAGCCTTTTCCTTACCAATCAGCACCTAATCAAACCCATGGCTATCATTTTCATCTTTTAGCTCTTATTAAATTTTGAACAAAGACAAAGTAACTATAATTATTACTGAACTTGCACTTAATGTAGTCATATTGGCTAGTGGAATGAGCTGTGTTTAGAGGACTGATGGTCGATTCTTTTTGTAGCATTTCAGGGTTTTTATTTTTTATTTTTATAATTATTATTTTATGAGGAAGACAATATATATCCCTCCATTTTTTCTTAACAATTATATCTATTTAAATGTTCTTAATTATAATTTTGCATGAGCAAACTTCTTAAATTACGGTTGTAATAGAGAATTATGACAATTGCATTTAATTAACTATATTATCTTATGTTTATAACCTTCAAAAATTTTGAACCTGGGCCATAAGCAAATATTTCTTGAGGAAGAGTTGGTTACTGATCAATGTTTTTTTTTTTTTTTTTTTTTTTTTTTTTTTTTTTTTATACAATTTTTTTTGGATTTTGTTGGTTGTAAAACTTTAACTATGGAGTATTTAATAACTATTTGTGTCATCGATGCATTTGAGCACTGGTTTTTCCCAAGATGTTTTTCAAATTATGTGATGTCTACTTGTCCCCCTAGTTTAAAATTTCTGACTCCGCCCCTGATTTCAGCGTGTCTTAAATTACCACCACTATCAAAGAAGGTGATGAAAGGTTGGAAATGCCCTTCATTAAAACCAATAAATCGTAATTATACCTCATATTGATGCTTATGTTTTATTGTGTCATAAACAATCCATTTATTTTACCGAATCCCTATTGTACATTTTATGTCACATTGTATATTTTATGCCACACAATTATTATTCACCACATAGAATAGAACAGAAAAGGTGTATATAACTTGATCATCCATCATTTCTTTTTCAAGTTTTGTTGTCTTAAAAGATGGTTTCCTAAGCCCATCCAATACCAAACCTTTTACCCAAATTAACCAAGCCTTGCCCAAATGCCCAATACCATCGTCTTCAATAGTTCAATCTCAAACTATCCCAAAATAAACATAACAATAACAAAACCACAAAAAAATAATTTAAAAAATAAAAACCTCCTTAAAACCCCCTTTCAAAATAAATAAAAACGGCCACCATTTTAGTGTGCCTGAAACCAACAACAGCACCAGTCCACCACCACCAAAGAAGGTGGTGAAAGGTCGGAAATGCCCCGCATCAAAGTAAAGAATCTCAGCTCCCTCTTTCGCTCCGTCGCTAAAGTCGAGTCTTCTCCCTCCTCCGCCGCTGTCACCGTCGGGAACGCCGTCGTTTCTTCCTCCAAGAAGAAATTACGCTCTTCTCCTCCTACTCTTACTCCTCCTTCTTCTTCTTCGGGGGCAAAATCGTCTTTGAGCAAGCAGCCTCGCCTCCAGAATATTCCGGCCACCGTCGTCGAAGATACTGGTTCTCTTTCTCTCTCCTCTACTTGTTAGAAATTGAAAAGAAATTTAACTTATTTTTGTGAAGTTTATGTCATTTTATATGGTAATTTATGTTATTATTGTAAGTTTAATTGAGTTGTTGATGTTTAAAATTTGAATATTATATAAATGTGTTGTAATTTTATTATGCATTTCTAAATGTGATGTTATGTAATATTTTTTATTTTAGGTTTAATGAAATTTATGGATTATGAGTGTAATGAAATGCTTAATACTGTTTAATGTTGCTGCCAGTTAATAATACTTTTATATGATGAACTAGGATTGATAAAATAGTAACAAGGTTAATAATGTATTGGACATCAGGTGGGAAGTATAATGCGGCGACAAGGCTGTGTTGTTTAGGCATTGTTATTTCTAAATTATGATTCGTCGAAAGGCTTGTACAATTGGTAACTCGACTTAGCTTAGAAACCTGCAAGCATTGTTTCGGCCTCCTTGCCAAACTAGTGAATGTCGTGGATATGTATACATGTGTTGGACTTAATTAATTTGTGGAAGTTTTGCTTGTTTGGGTGGAAATTAGTGTTCGAGTAGCCATATGCATTTGTTATTGTTAAGTATCTGGCATGGGTGTTTGAGGCGAGAATAAAGAATCTGAGTGTGGAATTAAGTCTGCTTGGTTTATTTGTGTGATGATTAATGGTCGTATGAAAGATTGAAATATGCAATGGATGGCTTTCTTTTATGAAGTTGTAATTTGTTCAAGTTATTCATGGCAGATTGGCAGAGGCTATGATGAGTTAGTCTAGCCTACTTTCAAATAAGGTGTGCATCTTGTCTGTATTAATCCAGGTCTTGTTTTGTATTGTTCAGGGGATTCAGCTAAGGAAGTAACGCAGGACATTTCTTCTATATTGTGTGGTATGTTTTTACTCAATGCCCGATTGTGATATAATTAGTGCTCTTTTGTTATTGAGTTACTGTCTATACTAGGTCTTCAATGTGGCTATTAGCAGCCGACCAACCGTCCAGTTTATTAGCTATTTTAGCATATGAAAGAATTGTTACTTTCAGAAATTATTCCAGTTTCATGGGTTTAGAATTGATGTGAATATGTGATGCCCATATGTTGATTTATATCATGGCTTGACCGATTTGCCAATTTTTTTTTTAAAGTTAATTGTGAATCAGTCAATTTTGCCATAAATATATGCAAAAAATTGATCCCTTGGAGAAATAGACTAGTTAGTACCATTACATTATATATCACATCTAGGTTTAAAGTTGATCAAGAGCTAGTACTTTAATATATCTACTTATTGTTTTTCTACAAGTGTTGTGAAGTTTGGTTGCTCACCTATGCGTCTTTCACTCTACAATTATTTTTTGTGGTTTACTATTATTTTTGTGAAGATAAGGAAAACCCTTCTCGTGATCAGCCATTCTGTAACATGTGTTTTACAAGATATACCGCCATATTCTTTAGACCCTAAGTTGCAGCATTGCTGTAATTCATAGAGCTGTTATGTGCATTGAATCGTTGATAATATTCAGATTCCTTTATAATTAAAGCTATTCATGTTGAGTCCTAACAGATTTATTACTTGCGTGTTACAAAATAAAAAAGATGCTAACTCTACATGTTCAAGACTTCAAATATAATCTATTTAATACATTCAAATTTCTTGAATTATACTTATGAAGCGGAATTGTTCAAATTCTTAGAATATAAATGCCATGATATCCTTTAATGTGAATTAGCTTATATGGCGCTACTGCAACTCTATTTACTGTCACTGCAATGGAAACCACAAGTCTACAACTATGGTTTTTTTTTTTTTTTTGCTCTTTTTATGCTGAAAGCCTGAAACTCTACCATAAATCTTAGAGAGATTTTGTGTTAAAGATTGACCGTCTGCCCAATATCAGCATGTACTGTGCTTAGTGATAGTGGCAGAACTGGCTTTCTTTTGATTTGAGAAATGTATGGTCTCTAAATCTTAATTGTGAATTTGTGACCCTTGTCTAATGTGGACCCCTCCATCTCGTGTACCCAATGGCCTTAATAATGCTTATTGTTTTAACCCTTCCTCAGTCTCACCATCTAACTTAAGAGAAAAAAGTGGATTTTGGTTTACTTTTATAAAGACATCTTTTTGTGATGCCTCATTTATTAGGTATCGATGATTGGGAGTTTGATGATCCATCTGATTCTGAAGCGGCTAATGATGACACATCATTGGAGGATGATTCTGATGTGCGTTGGTTTTCCGAATTGTTTAATAGCAGCACGCCACTACGTCGTAAAGAGTTATCTCGTGATCGAAAGAATAAATGGGTCTTTAAGAACACTCAAAAACTGCGTTTTGATAAGTTGGTTAGTATGTGCTTGGATAAAGTGGGATCAGGTTCAACTTTTCACGTGTTATATAAATTAGGCCGAGGGACAGGTTTGAAAGAGTATAATGCTTTCATTAAAGGTTGCATAGAGACAGCTAGAAGTCTCAAAGATGAGAAACTCCAGATAGAACAGATTTTGGAGGCATACCGGCTGCTTCAATTAATGAAGGAACGGGGTTTTCCGATAGAAGAGGATGCATTTGGCCCATTCTTAATGTTTCTGATTGACATGCATATGGATGACCAATTTTTAATTCTTCTTGAGATCATCAAAGATGAAGATCCTAGTTTACATCCACGATTAGGCTACTATGAGATGCTTTTTTGGATTGAGATGAATAATGAAGAAAAGATTCTTGAGTTTTGCCAGCAAATTGCTTCTGGTGAGAGTGAAATGGGGTCTGAATTGCATGGTGAGCATCTTTCCTTCAAATATTTCATGGCATTGCTTATTCCTTTCACTGGTTTTGGCTTCTTTCATTTATCTCCAATCTGATTTTTATTATATATATATATATATATATATATATATTTAAAAAAAAAAAAACCCTACTGCCTACCTGCATTTGGATGTGACAGCCGTCAACTTTCTTGCTTGACTTTGTTGAATTGAATCATAAATTCCTAATACACCCTCTATGAGGTCTATTTATTGCCTTTACTGTAGGAAGTTGTATTATAGAATTATGCAAGTTATTCTTACTTGTCACCTAATGGAGAGGATCTTTTTGTTATTTGACATATGAAGTTACATGATTGTAGTTTATGTTTAATTTTTATTTGCTGATTGAAAGGATGTACTATCGTCTTCAGTGATTTGGTCTTAATGATTAATCTATTACTGTTTGTGCCAATGGCTGCCTGTTTTTAGCAAGAACTCAGAGTGATGACTATTTCATTGTGAAAGTCTTTTTACTAACAAGATATCTAGACTTTCTCTGTGGTTCTAATTGTATTAAATTGTCTTGTGCTGCAGAAAATTATTTGTTGGCACTGTGTGAAAGAGATAAGAAGGAGGAGCTTCTTCACTTGCTAGATGTCATAGACATAACCAGAGTTTCATCATTGGATAATGTAGCTTGTATTTTCAGATCTCTGGGGCGATTATCATTGGAAGCTTTTGCGGAATTGTTTGTCTTGGTATTGAAAGATTGTGGTATGTTCTAGACTCCTAGTGCAATGATTTATTGGTCTTTCGTTTTTTCTGTTATTCATTTACTTAAGAACTCTCTAGTATAGTCTTCATGTAGGTTTGTTGTGTGTTTAGGGGGAAGGGGGATTAAGTTTCAATCATTGAATTAAAACTGAGTTGTTTTTTATTACTGTTTGGGCTAATGGCTGCCTGCTTTCAGCAAGAACTCAGAGTGAATTTCTATTACTGTTTGGTCCAATGGCTTCCTGTATCATGGAATCATTGCTTGGTCAATTTTTAATATGTCGAGTCACTGTTACACAACAAATGATGTGGGGAGAAGGCGGTGTTTTTTTGTCGCTGCTTTATGTAAAAGGATTTTACGGCATGGCGAATCCAAAATTTGTTTCATAACAGCTGAGTTTGAATTCCATGATACATTGAATTTTTTTTTTCTTAACATCGTTTGGGAAATAAATAATTACAAAAGGTCAAGCGACATTAATTTTTTTCCCGTGATAGAACAAATGAAAGTGGAGATCAATATAATTTGCCTCTGTTTTTTTTTTTTTTTTTTTTTTTTTTTTTTTTTTTTGCAACCCCAAATCTGTCGCAAGCTTGTACCTTTATCTTATGTTGTCTTAAGGCTTCTGCAATGTAATTTTGTTATCCAAAAGGTGCACATATACCATATTCAAGCCTCAAGGATAATAATGGGTAATAAAATGCAATGGTCCGTAGTCATTACCTTCACTTGCTTATCCTTAATCATCATGTCATGCTCTACTGGTTCCTTCCTTCTTTTCTCTCATTCAGTCTTTGAAATTTATAAACAGATTAAACAACATAGATATATTTTCTGGGGTGAAAAATTAAGCATGCTAAGCACATAAATACCTCTGTATGTTCCTTGTTGCACTTGTAAAAGCAACTTTACGTGGAGTTATATTTGCAGGGATGTTGATTAAGAAAGCAGCTTTGTTTGCGCTGAAAGAACAAAAAGAATTTAGCTGCTCAATTTCTTTGGTTTTAGAATTTAATGACTTGATGGATATTTGAACACTAAATTTATACAGAGAATCAGGAGCATAACTTCATAATTACCAAAGAATTAAAATTTTATTTTGTTGTCTTACCTGTTGAGATTCCCGTCCATATATTTTTTTCATTATTGCTCAATTTGCTCCCTCAATCAAATTGTCTGATTGTTTATTGTCCTTTAATGTGAATTTAGAAAGAGAAGGAAATCTATCAACTGAGGATAATATAAGGCTACAGGAGAAGGGGAGAAGCTTTTAGGGTTGAATTAGAATTCAAGGTTAAATGAAGAGGGGAGAAAAAAAAGTGTTTTTGTGAAATAAAGTGGAAAGTAAGGTCATAAGGGAATTGATATTAGAAAGGTTGGAGGATAGCTCATGAATGGAATGATGAAGGGTTTTTGGATGAATTTGATATTTTACAGTACTTAAGAAAAGTGGGTATCACATGATTTAACACACTTAAGATGTGGTTGAGAGATTGTTAGGAGTATAATTAAGTGGGCCATGAGCTTTAAATAAGGTGTAATAGTACAACTTTTACCTTAAAAAACTTTTCAATTATAGTATGTTGCAAGTATCGTGACATTTCTATTTTAGGAAAGTATTGCGAGTATTAAAAAACGGAGGAAGCAGTAGTTACAAAAGATGAAATTTAAGTAAAAAATGATGACTGTCCCTCAAGGTTTGTGATTTTACCAAGTATAGATAGAAATGAGTTCTGTTGGTAGTGACATTTTTCTTGCTTTTATGCTATGAGTTCTGGCAGTTCCTTTGCAACATTTTGTGAACTAGTTATGCCATAGTACCAACAAATTATGGACTGTTGATATTGCATCTGTGAATTTAGAGAACTATGTATGCTTGATTACATATGTATTAGTATCGTAGAAAATCTGCTGATATTGTGGTTTATGGCACTTTATTGTTGTTCAGCTTCACAACTTTTGGAATTTTATTCAGATGCTAGCTTTCCTGACTATTAAGTTGTGTCTTCCTTTCATCTTTTATCAGTTAAATACTTGTCTAATTAATAAAAAATCACTGCTAGAGCTGTTTATTTTGTGTAGACTCTGTAGAGTGTTTTCTGTTTTGTCATCTTTATATAATTTTTTTTCCTTGCAGGTCATAAGGCCCAAAGTATTTCAAATTTGATCTTCTCCTATGCGTCTAGCTTAAAAAATACAGCGGTGAGGAACTTCTCATGAATTTACTGGTAATTTCCTTTGGGTCCGTTCGTTGGGCAATTTTGTAAAATTTTGTGTATTTAGTGACCTCTTCTATTCTGATACTGATAGTCAAGGACGACTTTTTACTATTTTCACAGGTAGAAAAAGCATAGTTAAACCACTTTTTTCTAAAGTTTTTTTTGTTCTTTTCTTTTCAATTCGGATACAGATTAAGTGTCTACTTGGATACGAGTGTCCAAATCGGACTCGGCCATTTTGTAGAAAAAAAAATCTAGTTTTTAGTTAAAAATAAGTATCCAAGTAGAGTGTCGTGTTAAAAATGAAGTATCCAAGTAGAGTGTCGTGTCGGACACGACACGATATGACACTCAATTTTTGAGGTAAATGAGGGTGTCGAAGTAACAGTTTTTCATTACTTTCAAATAGAAAGCTTTGATTTTCTTGCTATTTGCTGATGGTGTTTAGTGATTACTGAAGAAAAACTTCCTTTTAGATTTCGAGCATCTCTTGTGATCACTTTTTTAGATTTTAGTGCTGCCTCCCATCATTCTTGGAGTCTACCTCTAAAATCTATCTGTGTGATATGCATGATGCTCCCTTGTTAATTTTGTTTCATAATACTGTTATAGGACTGTCCATTGCAAGGTATGGGACTTGAGTCCTTGGTATTAGAGCCATAACCACCTTTTGCTTAATTCTATCTTGCCCACCATTAAAGCAAGTTCTTGAAGCTCGAGTGCCTTCAAACTGTTTGTTGAAAGGCCTGAGAGAAAGAAAGGATTTATTGAGCTAGCTTTTAGGGATGGCTCTCCTGTTGTCCTATATCTAATACTTCCATGCTTTTTACTATATGTTATTTTTTATCTTAAGTTGATGAGTGAACATGGGATATGCTCTTTTATTTTACACTGTATGTGCTTTTGGGAGCACATCACGTGTCAGGGTGTAGATCTAAATTTTGCTTGTTTGGGGCCTCGGGCCAACCAACATTAAAGTGGCTACCTGCCATTAGCTCTGTGGATTTTCAATGTTAGCTTCCATCATCAATGTTGTCCATCCTTAACTTTAATTTGCATTATTAAATCCCTGTTGTTAAATAAAAAGGCCACCTGTTGTCTGGAGCCTTGGGCCAACTACAAAACGGGTTTGGTGGCTATCTGCCACTACTAGGTTTTGATATATTCAGGCTTTATTTCATGTGTGTTATCATAGGAATTTTGTGTGTTTTTGTCAATGTTCCCTATTAAATTTTGAGGCTAAAATCTGCTTCTGTATTAGTAGGTCATTTTGGCCTTTTGGCTTTCAAGTTTTAAACTTGAGCTTCTACCTTAAAACCTCCTGACCTGTCATATTAAAAATAAACCTTAATTATATTGTAAGTTGTCCACTGGGCTGAAGTATCTCTTTTGCAACAGTCATCCTTTGAGATCGTTGATTATTTGAAGATAACTTGTGTTTTACACCTGACCTCACTATTACCTGATGGTGAGGAGATCAACTACTTTTGAATGTTCAAACTTTAATATGGGAATTGCCAGTACTTTTAATTGGCACACACAGATCAATGTGAAACCCAAATTGTTACAGAACTTTCCCTATTATGCCCTTTCCTTAGAATGTCTATGTCTGTGCTTTTGTGCATACCACATCATTGCCCAACTCTGTTTTCATGAGGCTCTCATCTGTTTTAAGGGTTTTGGAATTTGGGGGGAGGGAGGGGGGGGGGGGAGGGGGTTTGTTCTGCATGGAAATAAAGATGTATGTGGTCATATGATTCTTATCCCTTTGATTAGAAGAAGCTGTTCACACTTTTTTCTTTTCTTACTACACACATGGGCACCTTATTCAAGTTTTTTTTAGAGTGTAGCTTGAGAAGATACTGTTTTCCTTTGAGATGAGTTTAAGAAAAATGTTGCTCTGCTTGATATTCTTCATTCTAAAATTCCTTATTCATCTTGTGCTTTTTCCTCTAGAATTTTCTATTTCCCACTTTTTACTTCTTACCCAAATTGTTTCAAGTTTGGAAGTAATAGTTCTGCAAAAGGTGAAAGCCATTGTTTTGGGTGGATGTTCTTCAAAATCCAGTTTTATAGGCTGCTTGTTGGCATGAAAAATTACTGGTTATAAGGTTATCTATTCTTGATAGAAATATCGTGGAAATATTCTCTTCCTTCAGTTGGATGTTGCTAAGTTTTTATGGAGGATATTAGTTGGTAATTCAGGAAAAAGCTTGCTCTACTTGGAGCTTTATTGATCATGCCCCAGTGAGATATGTGGGCTGCACATAGGACGAAGATAAAGTTTCCTTTGAAGGTTGGTGGCAAGGCTGGAGATACAAGCTGTGCTAGTTGGGTACAATTGGGCCTTTGAGATAGCTAGAAATTTATTCTCTCTCTCTCTCTCACACACACACACACACACACACACACATCGCAGGGTAGGAGGCTTGCATTGTATCTTGCGTGCACTGTGTGCTTTTGAATTCTCCATCTGTTCCTAAATATGTATTTCACATGTTTCTTTTTGGGCTGCCCCAAAATGAATTTCTTACTTATACATCAAGTAAACTTTTTATATTTCTCCAGCCCAACGCTTTCACCTTTTCCCTCTGCTTGTCCCCTACCTAATGTTCTATTCACATATAACAAGGATCAATGATAAAAGAGCTGTGAATGCCGAATATATTACTGGTCATATGGAGAGTAATGCCAGGACTTTTTTTAACTTCATATAGACAAACACTTCATCTAGAAGATCATGCTCTCTACAGTCTCTGTATGGGCAAAGGCTGCTTACTTTTTTCATTATCTTAGCCTATGTGGCATGAAAACTACTTTGACATTAAAATATCATCCTTATTTGAGAGACTTAATGTATTGTGCAGGCGCAGCTTTATTCTGCTGTGTTATGACAACTTATCCTCATATACAATGTAGAGAATATGAGTCCTAATCTTTGATGGTGATAGCTGTGCTCTTAAATTCCTCCATAAAGATCAAAACTCATGGCTTTTAACCTTAAAGTGATTGCTGTTATTGATCCTTAAATGCTAAGATTGAATATATACTGATTTGACTTCTTTCTAAGATGCCTAATGTTTCTCTTTAAAGGTTGAGGATATTATTCAGATATTCAAAGAGATGCATGGAAAAATGGATCTTGCACTTTTGCCTGGATCATATGAAAATCTCATTAAATATTGTCTTGACTCCACTAAGGTACGCGCAAACCATAGATTACTGAGATGGTACTTCTTATAGTAATTTTGTCCTGCTGCAATTGTATACTTTTGCCTTTTCTCAATCCCTTGTTTATCTCCATTGAGCATTGTATTATAAAATCAGCTTGTCTGATTTCCTGCCTTTCTTCCCTGAAAATTAATTATAGGTCCATTTGGCTTTGGATTTAGTTGATGAGATGTGTGAAGCAGGTTTATCTTTATCCACGGGAGCACTCAATGCCATATGTCATGCTTGTGAGGAGAGCTGTGAATTTATATTGGTATGCTTTCTTTCAAGCTGTAGTTTTTATGCCAGCTATGGTAATGATGTTGTTGTAGTACAGAGTGGTTTCTGTGCTGCTGACCTTATCATTTTGATTGTTGACCCTTATGGTGAATTGTGTGGAAGAACATTATAATTTTTGGAGGATCATCTGTAGGTTTTATAGACTGTTTTTGGTAATTTCAAGCACTGCTATGATTGTATCTTAAAAGCCATTGCTTTATTTATTCGTTTAGCAGTAATGAAGTCTTATCATTAAAGGTATAATGGGTACAATTCTCTGCAATTGTTGATGCATGATAGTCAGAGCCATTTGCATGGGCCATGGGGTGGTTGCTGCACCAAAGATTTTATTGCCTTATTGGGATTTGACATGCTGCATAACTTCATCTGGTTTTAATTTCTGATCTTGTACATGAATGTGAAAGCATTTTTTCCTGTCAATGTTTCTGTAATAGGTTCGTCGGATCTATTCAATGCTCAGTAGTCATGAGATGAAGCCAAATAATGAGACAATCAGAAGCATTATCAACATGAATGTTAGAATGAAAGATGTGAGTTTTTAAAATTCACTCAATTCTCCATTTTTTATTTCTCTGTTTCAGTCTACTTTTGCTTCATTTACCAGTTCCTCTTTTGCTGCTCTCTGCAGTTTGATAATGCATATGCCGTGTTGAAGGATTTGGAAACGATTAAGATAGTTCCTTCAGCAAGTATGTACAATGCTATATTGGCTGGTTATTACAGAGAGGTGAATTTTCCAGTCTTTGGTCCCCCCCCCTCCCCCTCTCTCGTTTCTCCCTTTTACATGCTTGCTTTCCCACTATACTCTGATTGGCAATTGGCGCATAGGTAATGTAATGTGGGCATGAAAAATATTATGGGAGAAAGTAATGTTTGTTTTTGCTCTATCTGCATATGTAGCTTGGGCACGAGTTTGATTATTATGTTGATGTCTCAGCTTAGTTTCATTACACCCGAATTCTTTCAATCTAGGCAGAGTTCATTTTACCTATTTTATATCTTTATATTTTCTCAAAATTCCTTTATTTCAAGTTGCTTCTGTGACCTTTTTAGTTGCCTACGTTCCAGACTGCTGTCTGCTAGGTATGCAGGTAGGTATACTTACAAGTGTTGGATATGGGTAGATATCTAAAGTAAAACAAGCCAAGGCTCAGATTTTTCAGACATGTTGACCTTTTCCCAATATTGGACATGGCTGTAACTTGTAAGAACATGACATCTGATGGAGCATATTTCCAATCTTGATAAAGAGACCTATATGTCACTTTGCATTTAAAGGACACGTAGTGTATGATATAGGCTGACCTGATTGCTACACCTAGTTATTTTTATTTCTAGGCCAACAGTGAATACATATGTTACTTTTCACTTTCCTTCTACTTTGATAGTCATTCTTTCGAGAATGTGTGGATGTAGATAATATTGAGGTGTTTGGGTGAAAATTGAACCGTTTGGCGAAATTTGTACCCTTTTTAGAGTGTCTTACATAAGTGTTTACGGTAAATAGAAGAATTAATGTAACATACATATGAAATGAAGTGTGAATGCCCAAGTGTTTGACACAAGTAATAGGGTTTTATGAATAATCCATATAGAATTAGATGCATTACATAGTTAAGGGAGGCTGAGTCGATCTTCTAATTTGTTTTTCTGTTTTTCTTGTAAATCATGACTTTGAGATGAATCTAACAGGAACCCCCCCCCCCATGAAAAAGAAGTCAAATTAACATATGTGAATAGTGCCCAAAGTCAAACATAACAAATAAAAAGAAGTGGAGAAAGTAGTTAATATTATAAAATATTAGATGAATCCAACAACATTTACTTGATAACATTTGATTTGTTTTTCTTTAAAAAAAAATCTATTCAATAATAATAAAGTGAAGATACCAGGGTCTAATAGTGAAATAATTTAAGTTGTCTTGGCTATAAGTGTATTGTGGGGAGGTAGAAATAATGATGCTTGTGCTCTATTATCTGATTTGTCTTTGACTTTTAAGGGACTTATCTTCCAGCCCCCTTCTCCCGAATGGTAATTTCTTTGTATGCATCACTTGACCAAATTCACCTTCTTTCCTTTGAATTTCTAACTCTCTTTGGTTGTTGAGCTACAACTTTTATGATGGGTGTCCATCTACTACAGAAGGATGTTAGCAATAAGCCAATAACCCTCTTTTATGTCTCTGCAGAAAAACATGGATGGTGTGCTGAAAGTCCTCAAAGAAATGAAAAATGCAGATGTCAAACCAGATTCTCAGACTTTTGGCTATCTGATAAGCAACTGCTCAAGTGAAGAAGATATTATGAAGGTTGTCTCATTATGTACAAAATTTATTTTTCTCACATATCACCATAAAGAATTTGGCCGCTTAGTGCTATTTTATGCTTTGTGATCTATCTGGCATGACGGGTGGATAAAGATTTAGTGTTGCCTTATGTGTTGTGTAGTTTAAAATGTGAATGTTGTGTTAAATTATTATCTTTCCCTCAATCGATGTAATTTTATTATCATGAATTTGTAGATATGACATGATGAGCTGGCAAACTATTCTCCCACAATGTTCCTCCTATATATGTGTGCGTTTGTATTTTTCTCTCTCTGTCCCATATAATGTTATTTATTCGTGTTTTCGTCTTTTAATATTTAAAATAGCTGTATATGTGAGCATAGATTTTAAGTTTAATCTGTTTTGACATATACTTAAGTCTTAGGCTCTACATGTTCAACTTATATTGTCCTAACTTATCTTGTGTGAACTTATTTTGTCTATAAAAGCTTATCTTGTCATAAAAAATAAAAAAATAATAGACTACATTTATCTGAATATATCTGTATTTATCTTAACTTATTTAGTCTGATATAAATCTACGTTAGTCAAACCTAACAGGGAGGCCTTATGGAGCTTCAGTAAAAACAGTTGTCGATTAAGAGCATCTAGATCTAGGTGTGTATTCTGTGTAATGGTAACAGTTCACAATCTAATGTGATATTTTCATCTGCTGTCCTTGTCCATTTTACGGGCATTTGCTACATTCAAGTCTTCCAGGCAGGAGCGGGGGAGGGATAATTTAAAACATTTGCCTAGAGATTAATCTTATCCTGTCTTATTGTGTATGCCTGAACTTTGATTTTGCTCACCATTATCTATTTATTCTGTCTACAGTATTATGAACAGCTAAAGGGCACTGGTGTTCAAGCTACAAAGCATATTTTTATGGCACTAATAAATGCATATGCTGCATCTGGTCAATATCAGAAGGCCAAGGAGGTAAACTTATATTTTAATTTGATCTTCTATTGTTAATTTTATACAAAGTAATATACTTTGGTTATATGCGATCATGAACACCCTGACGTAGTTGTCAAACTTTAATTAACTGACTATTGCTCTGTAAACTTAAGAATAATGTCAATGCATGTTATTTGCAGTGATACGTATTTGAATATTAGTTCTTACATATTATTAAATATTAGTTTTTTACTGTTTGTTTTGGAGAGATCTCTGCAACATATGGACATTTAGTATGAGTGCTCCTAGGAACATCGGAACATCTAAGTATTAAATTTTAGCAGTCGGCTATGTTGCTAGCTTATAATTTTTTTTGCACATAGAAACTACTGCTTGAGGGTGGGATATATGTTTTTTTTTCTCATTGGGGTAATTTGGAAGAAAAATGAATATGAAATATACGTTATGCTGGTAATTTTCTTACAGTGGCTGGCTTCCCAGAGTATACTGCAAGGTTCCTTGAGCAGGTATCAGAACGTGTCAGATTATGTAATAATTTGGTTCATGTCAGATGTCACTGTATATATTGTCATTCATGTCTTCATGATGGTCTTGGATTTGAGGGCATGTTTGTTATATTAATGGTTATCTAAAATTCTGCAATAGGTGAAACTAATTTAGGATTGGAGACCCAAAAATTAAAGAAAGAATAGGATTCCATTTTTGTTTAGACAGTCTCATATTGGGCAATAGGTAATCACTGCTGATATTCAGGAGCAAAAGGATGGTGTTCTTTCATCATCCCTGTGGGTGTGCAGGGTTTGATTCTTGTGACTCTTATCTCATTCTATTAGTTTCTCTCTCTGTGATTTTCAAATGTAAACTTGAGTTATGGAGTCTTCTTGTTGCTTGTCAAGCAAATGATAAGGATTTCAGCACTTTTGTATCACTGTCTCCTGCGACTTGAACTTCTTACTAACTATACTTGCTGACTCCTCGTGTCTTAATTGTGTCAGGTTATTTTAGACAAAGGAATACCTGTAAAGTACTTAAATGAAATCAAAAGTTCTCTTATCTCGGCCCTCGCATTACGTGGCCAAATATCTGATGCCCTAGATATTTACAAGGAAATGAAACAAAATGGTTGTTCTTTGGAGCCAAAGGCTGTTATAGCCCTCATTGTAAGTTCTTAGATTTATTTGGTTCTTGTTACGATGTTTTAAGGCCTCTGAAGTGTTGAATATATCTAAAAATTTACTGTTTGCATGCTATTGCAGGAACGCCAGCATTCTAAAGGAAAGTTGGATTTATTGCTACAGCTACTTGAGGAATTGAATGATCCATACTATTGGACTGATGGTTGCTGCAGAGTTATTTTATACTGTATTAGGAACAAGGCTTTAAGGTCAGTTGATGCCGAATTACTATCTTCCTCTGATCAAGCTCATGGAAACTTGTGATTAATGGCCAAATTCGTTTTCTCTTGCGTAGGCCCGCTGTTGATTTGCTAAAGAAACTCTCAAATGATTTCCGGGATGATGATATTGCTAGAGAAGTTATATTCGATGAGGTCTTTTCTTCCTCCATAATCATCTTGCTGAAAATAAAATGTCTAGCCCTATAGAACTTTTGTTAGAAAAGAGTGCGAAACCAATCACATAAACACCAGAGCCTAGGGTTTATCTGATGTTATTAATCTTGTTTATGTTTATTCAGGTATTTTCACAAATTGCTGACATGGAAAGTCCCAATTTGAAGATTGGCCTAGGCTTGCTTAAAGCTATCAAGGAAGATCTGAAATTGCGCCCTTCACGGAAATGTCTGGATTTTCTCCTTAGTGCTTGTGTCAAGGGAAAGGATTTACTGAAAGCTCATTTGGTTTGGAAGGAGTATGAGATAACTGGCCTACCTTACAACATTTTAAGTTACTTAAGGTAACATTGTCCACTTTGCTGAGAACTGCTGAGCTCTGTCAATTTATGTATTGATTTGTCAGTAATATTTAAACCAATTGAATTTGGATCAGATGCATCAAATGTCCAACTTTGAGAAAAATAAAATAAGATAAAGAGCATTATGTTTGTGTATTTCCACCAATGATTATTTGAAGAATGTACAAGTGTGTAACCCATTTTGCACTCAAAATATGGAATTGATCCGTTCCAAATGTGCTATATGCCGCATTTAGGGTGGTATAAGTTCAAGAAGGTGAGAAAGACAGGCAAATGGTGATGATCGCTGAGCAGTGTTTGTGTCAGAACTATCATGTATTAAGAAGGCAATTAGTGATCAAACTGCCCCAACATAATTCCTTCTGATGCCATGCAAAATTATGTAGAACAGTTTCCTGCCCCATTCTTAACAGACTATTTACATAGAGTTCCCAGTTTTACTAGCTTTATACACGTTTTTATGCTTATCATGCATCTAATGAATGGTTTGACTGACACAGGATGTATCAGGCATATCTAGCTGCAGGAGATATGGAAGCAGCCACCGCATTTCTGAGTAATATACCAAAAGATGATCCCCATGTTCGGTCTGTGCTCCATGCATGCCGTATAACTTATGGAAAGCCCAAAGAGGAGAAGAAAAAGAAGAAAAAGAAAAAGAAAACATAGAGGAAGAATAGAGAGATGAATTGGATCATAAAAAAATTTCCAATTGAAATAATACAGCATGAGGTCAAGCTCTGTTTGCTTGTTAATATCTCATTTCAAGTTACCAAAATTTCAGTGATTGGTCAAGATAACACGAGGCCGTTTATTGTCCTGTTTGCTCTTACAGAGGTTCCATGGCTTGATTTGATTGAGAAGAGCTCTGTTCCAGATTTTGAGTTAGCTCCAGCTTGAGGCTGCCTCAATTGTGTGGAGAACTAATACTATTATTCATCATCCAAATGGTGTCACACTTGCACACATAAAATGATACATACTAAGCCTTACAGTAATTTTGTAGGTTGGGACTATTTTCTGTTGAAGCCCCAAAAATGTGAACTTGGCTTCTGTCCAAGTATCCTGAAGAAGGTACACATAGGATAATTGAAGTGTTTTCGATTTGTGCAAATTCATTATTTGGGGTATCATCATGAACATATGATGAAATACAGAAATAGCCAAATAGGTCTTTAGTTGGTCACCAAGCTAACGTTCCTGTCTTGTAACCTTGAAGCCAATTTGGCAAGTGGAACATCATATTGAGATCAGTAAAAATTATCATTTGTTACATTCTTCGCATAAATCTGTACAAGTATCCACCCCCTCTCTCGTGGTGAGTGATTCTACGAGGTTCCATTGCCGGTCAAGGGACCACGTGGGAAGAGCAATGTCGCTGTTCTACCACCTCAAAGGTCCTCGCCCCTTTTGGGTATGAAACAGGCATGTAAGTATGTAACTCTTCAAATCTCCATCTTACTATATTTGCCTAATTCATATTCTGACTTAAAATGACGAGATGCAATATACTCCCTTAGATTACCTACTGTCAAAACAAAGGAAATTAAAATCGGAGCAACAATTTCCTGTAACTTAACTGACAAACTGTATTTTATAATTGTCAATTTACAACATTTCTCCTAGCTATTGAAACAATTATCAAAAAGATTTGGCAACCAGAATAGCTTGCCTACACCTAGCCTTAGCTTGTTCAAGCCTCTCATTAAGAGTTTCTTCTTTAACAGCAGCTTTAACCATTGCCAAATCCATCTCCATTAACTTCAACACTCTGAAAAGTTCAGTGACCATCCTATCTTCAACTTTGCCTTCATCTCTCAAGTCTTCTGCCTCTTCTCTTGCTCTTTCTGCTACTATCTCTCCTGCCTTAGCCAGCAGCTCTGTCGACCCGAATTCTCGACTCAACAACCCTTCAAACTTGTCCAAAAAATCCATGATCACATATCCTGTAGGCTTCTCTAGGTTGATGGGTTTGGTCCTCTTCCACCCTATCTCAAAGTTGGGAGGTTCTGGTTTTACGAGCTCTTTTCGAGCCTTTCGATCACGGATTATCTCGGACCGTCTTCTCTTCTCAATGGGAAACTTGTCTGCAGGAGTTGTGGCCTCATTCTCTGGGCTTGGTGTTGGAAAGTTGTCGGCTGCTACCTGTTCAGGTGGTGATGGTGAGGAGTTTGCAGTGCATTTTATTGAGAATGAATGAAGTTTCTGATGTGTTATTGGGAATGAAGGTGATAAGTGTGAAAATTTATGGGAAATTTGATTTGGGTGGTGAAAGAGGTTTATATGAAGGGTGGATGCTTGGGAGATAAATTGGAGAATGGAGGAAGCCATTGTTTGTTGAAATGCACCAAAACATAATAGTAATTGGCTAAGATAAGGTTTATTTGTATATCTCCAATGCTTTTATTTGTGGGCCAAGGGTTAATTGCAAACTGATATGTTTTCAAATTAACCAATACATACAGAATACTATTGTAGTAGTGTCATGATGCAATCGGTAGAAGATGCATTAACCGGGTGTATATTCATTCTTTTAAATATATACTACCTCCGTTTTTTATTAGTTGACACGTTTTAACTTTAGCACTATTCACACACCTCCCTTTGATAATGTTTTGTGATTAATATGTAAATAAAAATATAGTCAAGTGGAATCTCGTTAGATTTGTTACAATGTATATTTTCAAAATATCAACTTTTTATAATTTTTGCTTATTGGTAATTAAAGATATTAATGATTGAATTGTGCATTGGCAAACGTGACTAAAGAAACGTGTCAACTTAAAAGAAACGGAGAAAGTATTGCGTAATGGTACCTTCATTCACAAAAAATCTTCGTATTAGGTTTGTACCTGCGTATCAAAAGATATGTTACTCCATCTATTTCTCTATTTTTAATAGCAAAAATATTTCATTAATTAAAAGTCGTACGACATTTACTATAGAGATTCGATGTTAAAAAATACTGAGTACATAAGATATTGAATCAAATAATTTTCCTTCCTAAAAACTACGATCGTCGAGTAGATCTTACATTGTAAAACATCTCCCGCTTATATCGCTGGAAAATACAACCTTATTAGAGAGAGAATAATGTAACGATTTTTTGTAGCCGTGAGGATGATTTCTTTCTGATTCATCTATATGTATTTGAAAACTTAATAACTTTTTCACCAATGAAATAATTTTATGACAATCCATTAGATCTAATTCATGGATTAAAAAAAATTAAGAAATTTCTCCCTCAAATACAAGAGATAAACCTCGTCTTTCGAATGAGGTAAAAAAAACCCTTATCTTTCGAAGGAAATTGGAATCCTTTTCTTTCGAGGGAGAAAAATTCCTCTCAGAAAAAGGAAACATTATTAAAAACCTAAAAATTGGAACAAAAAAAGTAATACTCCCTCCGTCCTTTTATTATAGTCCACTATTTCTTTTTTGGCAAATCAAAATTAAAGTCTGATTGTTAGAATTTTTTTCCTTTATAGTAAGTGTGTTTTACAATTTTAATCTCATTCTCCTAATTTAATCCCCAAATTATTCTCATTTTTTATTGATTTTTTTTAAAACATTTTAAAAAAATTGGATGTACAATAAATATTGTGCATTCGTTATAAAGTTACCCCTAAAATGAGCAAAAGTTATCCTAATATGAATTAAAGTTACTCTAACATAAATAAAGTTACGAAACATTTATGTTTTATTGATAAAAGTTACCCAAACATTATAAAAGAGACCCTAAATTTGATAAAAAGTGGTGACCCACAATGTGCAGTAAATTACTGTACACCGGATGTGTACAAAATTTATTCTAAATATTTTTGGCATTTATGAATCCACCAACATATGTTCTCCTTTTTTTTTTTTTAACTATATGTTCTCTCTCCTCAATTTTCTTCTTCTTAGGTATTTTTTCTTTTGAACATTTATTAACCTTTTTTTTTTATTTTCTCCATAATATAATTTAATACTTCCAATCACATGGTTTAAGAATTCCTGTGAAAAATGAAACTCTAATAAAAAACGAGGAAGCCCCAGTTCATCTTCACGATAAACAAAAAAAACGTTTATTTTGTGGCAATTTCGTAAATAAATCAATATAAAATCCCAGTCATTATGACGTTTCTGTAAATAAATCAACATTATTAGGGTCCACATTTGACAAAAGTTTTTGATTTATTTACAACAAGTTGTGAGACACACGCAAATTGCGTGTGCAACATAAGAAATTACTATGCATGACTCGGTTTATAAATTGATGAAATCATAGAGGTTAAAAGTAAGATATGAGTACATTATAATGTTCGTGCAAAATATGATTTCCCTCAAAAAAAATTAATAAAATAAATAAATTAAAGGGTGGTAGGTTTTTTTTTTTTTTTTTTTTTTTGGTAGTTATATTTTTAAAATTATGGTAGTTTTCTTTTGAAAATTATAAAATATGAAAGGAGTATTTTAGGAAAGTGAAATTTATATCCCAAAACCCCCTTTCACTTTATATATTACTATAAATAATGCCACTAGATAAATGTTTTTCTGTTTATCATGAAGATAAAATTGTATTTTCTCTATTAAAAAAAAAAAAAAAAAAGGGAGTACGACAAGTAATTGATTTGACCCATTTTCTAGAACTAAAATCCGCGCCGGCAATTACTTAATTACCCGAATTGTGACTTTATTGACCATTAAGTGAAAATACATGCTCTTCAAAGTGTGTTTTTTTTTTCCGTCTCCTTGTTCCCTCTCTCTCCTTCCTCCCTGTTCTTCCCAATTGCAATTTCATAAAAACAAATTGCAAAAAGGGTTTAACAAAAAAATCAAATAAAATTGAAGGTAATAATCATAATTATTGCATTTGGAGATGGCTAAAATTCCAGTAGGGTGTGAACCAGTGGTGGGTTCTCTCAACACTCCCAAGAAGAAAGATTACAAAGTCACTAACAGACTTCAAGAAGGCAAACGCCCTTTATACGCCGTCGTTTTCAACTTCATCGATTCCCGCTTCTACAATGTCTTCGCCACTGTTGGTGGCAATAGGGTAACCCTTTACTTTTTTTGATTTGTTAATGTTTGATTTTGATTTTTGTGTTATTGTATTTTCTTGTAATTAATTAGACCCCTTTACCCAATTTTGATTGAATTATTGAGTTGGTTGATATTTGTGACCTTTAATTATTGATAATTGAACTGACCCTTTTCGTAGGCAGTATTATATGGTGGTAATGTAAGGTACAATTGGTTGTTTTGATTTATTTTTAGCTTAAATTATGATTTATTTGCGGTTTGAGTGTTTGGTAGGCGGTAATAAATGGTGGTAAGAAAGGGAGGTTATTTTTACCACTTGGGTTGAAATTATCGATGGTCTAATCAACTCCAGGACCGCCTGGTAGGTGATAATAAATTGTAATAATGGAGAGAGGCCTTTACTCTAAAATTAATATTAAGTCATTTGTAAAGTTTTAATTATGGTGTGATTCATGATTATGAGTTTGATCATAAAGTTTTAGTCTTTGTCATAGGAATACACATTTGCCAAATTCTAATCTGTTGGTTGTTAATTAATATATTTGGGCAATTTCAACATAAAGGAATAGTATGGAAAATAAATAGGAGGGTTTTTTTTTTTTTTTTTTTTTTTTTTTTTGATGTAATTTTAACTACTCGTAGTTTTTAAAATGTTATACAAGATTTACTTTTGACTGACCACTGTTAGTCAAATTTGGAGCATAAACTCCGTGTTTATACACTTCACAATGGCAGTTTGTAGTTTATTCTTTATTAACAGTGAGTGTTAAATCCATATACTTCTCCAGGTAACTATTTATAGATGCCTTGAAGGTGGTACAATTGCTGTTCTCCAATCCTATGTTGACGATGATGTAAGAACAAACACTCTTTTGCACCTAACTTGAATATTTATCCATTTTAACTCTCAACTAATATTCCATATTGATCAGAAGGAGGAGTCTTTCTATACCGTTAGCTGGGCTTGTGATGTTGATCGTGCTCCACTGTTAGTGGCTGGTGGTAGCAATGGCGTAATTCGTGTAATTGATGTTGCACATGAGAAGATACATAAGGTATTGTACTGAATGTGAGGCTTTTTATTTTTTAATTTATTTATTTTTATTTTTTATATTTGGAGTAGTACACTAGTACTTGAACCTGACCTTGTGCAACAATAATTAACCTTAGATGCTGTGGGTTGATCAACTCGATTTCAGGAAGTGCTGCTTTTGATATTGGTCATGATTTATGATTTGTACTAGGAGTTGGAGAAAGATATCTTTATAAGGATTAGTGATCATGATCTGGGCATTGGTTTTTCTCTACAGTTTCAACTGTGAAAATTTGCCTGCTTGGAATGAGTGATGCCGATTTCTTTGTTATTTTCCTTATTATCTGTAAATTTTCCCTTTGTATATCTAATTTTTGCTGTTATTTGTGTTGGGGGTGGTATGTTTGTAGTTTAGGTTTATCCCACTAGACATTCTCATTCAGATATTCTTCACAAGCTAATTTTTTCAATGATCTTGAATGTTTACAGAGTTACGTTGGTCATGGAGACTCCATTAATGAAATCAAGACTCAATCCCTGAAACCATCGCTTATACTGTCAGCCAGCAAAGTGAGTACTTTGGAAAATTGAAATTTTTGACTTGGTTAGAGTTAATAATTTATTATAAAATTGAATCAGGATGAATCAGTTCGTCTGTGGAATGTTCATACTGGAATATGCATTTTGGTATTTGCTGGAGCTGGGGGTCATCGTAATGAAGTCTTGAGTGTGGTGAGTTTTTGGTGTGATGATCTGGACCGTTCTCGTTGCACATGTTTCCCTCTTTCATTGGCTTGCAGTTTCTGTTGTGATGATGAAACAAATGATTCTCGTAGTGATTTTTTTCTTTGGTTCCTTGCTTAGGATTTCCACCCTTCTGATATTTATCGGATTGCAAGTTGTGGAATGGACAACACTATTAAGATCTGGTCAATGAAGGGTAATGGAATTTTCTCTGATATTATCTCTTCATGACATTATTATGGTAATAATTTTAAGTAGTTTAAGTGTATAACTGTTGAACCAATTTTCTTGAATGGTAATGGAGCTTTTCCTCATCTCTCGCACTCCACCTGTAATGATAGTTGAAATTTGAAGAAAAGAAATCAAAGTTTATGATAAATAATGATATAAGAAGAGAGGAGTCAATAATAGAGAAAAATCGCATACTCTTTTCACACTGTATCTTACTGTTTGTTCTCTGTGGTAGGACTGTAGGAGCACTGTGGTTGTGTTTATTTCTTCTGTTATGATATAATTAGAGCTGGTTTAGGGCATACTTTTCCTCCAGAGCATCGGCATTCTCAGAATCTATCTGTTTGAAGCAGGTCCTTGGTATTAGTGGATAGTGGTAGATGAAGTTGTGCTGACCAAGGATATTTTGTTGATGTATTTGAGACAAACAATTGCTGACCTACCACTGTAGATTTGGTTTAGTGAGCACACTTGTAGCCTGCTTGCTTGGTCCTTGGTCATTTACGGTTGTTGACCTTAGAAAAGAACCACATTTTTCTCTATTTCATCCAACTTTTATGTTTTCAGCAAATGATGCATATTACACTGTACCAGTTTCAATACCTTCTTCAAAACATGGACATCATTCTTTACTTCATCCTTACTTGATAATCCATTTTATTTCATCATTTCCAGTTCCTTTCAGTTATGTTCTTGACGCTATGTAATATGGAAGCACGTGCATCTCCTATAATCTATAGCACAGATATAATCTTATTATGTGTCTCTTCCCTTCCCCCTTACCCCTATAGGCGAATAAGTTATAAAATCTTATAAGGTTTTCCAACTCTTCTCTATATCTTAAATATACGTGTGACATTTGACACGTGGACAAGGGTGTGAGATTTTGCTGGGTATGTCATTATTTTGAACCATTTATTGGTTAAAAAAAATAATGTAAAAGGATTAGGAGAGTGAATAGAAAATTATGAGATATCAAGCTAACCTGAAGTATGTGTGTGATATATTTACAGACAAATTACCTTGAAAGGCATACGCCATTATGCCAGGCTTGGATGCTTGATTTTAGGTTTAGCACATGCGGTGTTCTTATTTTGCCATGCATAGTTGTGCCATGTTGAACTTTTCAACAAAAAGTGGCCTATGTTTGGCCCACAGCCCAACATGCTCAGTAACGTGCCAAACCTTGGGCCAGCTCGCCCTGGTGTTATCTTTAGTTTTGTCTGCTGGGCATGTGTTTTGGACTTTTGGCTGATAAAGTAAAAGACTATTAGGTGAAGAAGGAAGGACAAGAAAATTTAGAGCTAGAACCTGCTCAAAATAATGATAGTAATCTAATTTCACAAAGTCTTTTGTGCCTCTGCAAAATAGAAGGAACCAGAACATAAGTGTGTGTGGTGTTTTCTGTCTGTTAACTGTTGCATATATTTTTTGCTGTTCCAAAACTGTTATTTTTAGTTCTTTTACCCTCTTTTCCTTTGATTTTGTTCAGAGTTTTGGACATATGTGGAAAAATCTTTCACATGGACAGATCTTCCATCAAAATTCCCCACAAAATATGTGCAATTCCCTGTAAGTGGATGATTCCCTCCCTCCCATCATTGCTGTATACCCAGTTTCCAATCCCTGTTGTCTTTCATCTACCTGCTGTTTTTAATACGTGTCCTCCCTTGCTTTATTCCCCGTCATCTCTGAATGTTTCCATCCTGACCTAACATGATAACATTTTTTTTCTCAGATCTTTATTGCTTCAGTTCATACAAACTATGTTGACTGTACAAGGTGGCTTGGTGATTTTGTCCTTTCTAAGGTAAATGTTTTGTATATGTCATATATTTTCATCTTTCTTACAATTTGTGTAAGTTTAGATTTAATTGGATGTTGGATAGGATATATAAAAGTGGAGTGAAGGAAAGAAAGTGAATTGTTTAGTATAATTAGAAGGACTAGAAACTGAAAGGGTTGCGTTGTTTGGTTTTTAGTTGTAAAGAAATCGGAGGAAAATGAAGGTTTTTTTCCCCTATAATTGGAAAGAAAAAATTACGAGTTTAAGGAGTCTTCCCATCTTTTCCTCTCTTTTTTTTAGCAGTTTCCTCTCCTTTCTGTCAAGTACCAAATTAATTGTACATTTTATAAATATTGATTTGTCAATTTTGACTTTAAAATTAATTAATTAATTTATTTATTATTATTTTTAAAAATCTTCTACTGGGATGAATGAATAGTATTGTCCTGAAATTCTGTATTGATGACACTGTAGATGTACATTCTGTTAATGTATTTTAGTGCCTTCCCTCTCTCCTCTAATTAGCCTTTGCAATCTTAAAAAAACAACCAAAAAAGATTGGACTTTTTGGATGAAGGGATCTGACAAACTTCTCTAAAATATGGCAATCATACATGATGTGAGAAGTTCAACTATAATGTTATCTTGGCTGGAGTAGGAATGTAATATTGTTATGTGAATCTTCTGCTGATTATGTTGTTTATTTGTTGATCAGAGTGTTGACAATGAGATTATATTGTGGGAGCCAATTATGAAGGAGCAATCTCCCGGCGAGGTCAGTATACGTGCTGATGTTCTTTGTAATGTGATATTTGCAGAAGGCTGATTTGTCTACCATTTATTATCTATCAGTTTTTAAAATAGCTTGATGTTCTTTGACTGGACCCTGATTTTGACTTTTGATGAAAATTATTTATGATTGATTTTCAATATTTTGTAGGGTTCAGTTGACATTCTTCAGAAATATCCTGTTCCTGACTGTGATATTTGGTTCATAAAGTTCTCATGTGATTTTCATTACAATGCTGTAGCAGCAGGTATTTTCAGCTCTCTTTTCATCAAGTTGTTTATTCTTAGTGGAGTTGGAGCATAATGTTGAAAGGATTAATGTTTGTGCTAACATGAATGTGATTAATGACAATCAACAACAACGAAGAGCGAAAACAAGTAAGCAACGAAAACATGAAAGAGTTTACCGTGGGAACCTGAGTGCCGGGAGAAAACCCATCAATCCAGTATGAAGTAATTTGATGATGAAGATGATTGCAAGCTCCTAAACAACCATGAAAGCTCACATCTCTCTCTATTACCTCTTTTAAACCCTAAAAGTATGAATAAATGCAAGAGGCTTTTTTTTCTCTTAATCAATCTAACATCATGACCTAATTAATGATATAACATGAGTATATATAGTGCAAGGCATAACAAATATCCCTACAGTCATAAAGTATCTACATCCTTTAATCGCAAAGAACGAAATTGCAAACCAGGTAAAACAGGGGCTGGTGGGTTCGGCCGAATCTATTTCTAGTGACTTCAACTCGCTTTTTTCTTACAGTTTGGGTGATCCTCCCACAGGTTGGGCCAAACTTTTTGGGAGGTAGACAACTCTTCATAAAACAGCCATACTTATTGTTTCTTGTTCAAATCAAGCTTATGACCTATCGTTGGAAAGCTCTTGAGATAAGCTATCACCTCCAACTTGAATCTTCTCAACATCATTTCTAGATTTTGAGATATGCTAATTTGAAGTCAGCCCTTTGCCCATCATTGCTCAGCACCAAGCAATCAACCCATAGCTTAACTTCAAATCTTTGCATCCTTATGCCTTGAACCGTTCTCCTTACCTTCCAAACCTAACAAGTTTTTGTCTTGTCCTCTCTTCCTATTGAATTCACCTCCTCCCCTCTCCCTGTCCTGCCGCCGGGGGGTGGGGGTGGGGTTGGGGGGAGGTAGAAGTGGAGGGGGTGCGTAGGATAATAGTTGCAAATAAACAGATGATAACTCAAGTGCTTACTGCTGACAGATTGTACAGTTTTGCTGATTTGATATTAATTTTATTTCTATTTTAATCTTTATGTATCATATTTTGTTATTCTAGGTCATTAATACTATTTTTTTTTTCCAGGCAATAGGGAAGGGAGGATCTACATCTGGGAGCTGCAATCTTGCCCCCCTGTTCTGATTGCAAAGTATGATTTTCTGTAGATTTGATGTTTTTCTAGGATGAATTTATCATACTAGTTATTGGGTCTTCATCATCATCAACATTCTCTTTTTCTATCAGGCTCTCACATCTCCAATCAAAATCACCTATTAGACAAACTGCCATGTCATTTGATGGAAGGTAATGAGGACTTCGTAGTCAAATCTTTAATAAAAATTGACTTCCTGATATATTTTGTGTAAGAAATATGCTGAAAATGATCTTTCATCTGCAGCACTATTCTAGCTTGCTGTGAAGATGGAACAATCTGGCGATGGGATGCAGTATCTTCTTAGATTTTAAGCAAGCTGTTTGTCAAAATATTTCCAATCTACCATAAAAGTTAAAAGGTTAGCTCACTTTCCATGCATATGACCTGTGTATTACTTGCTCATGTGCTATAAGATTGTACTGTTTACGGTTGTGATTAGAAGTGTACATTCAATAATTTGGTTATGATACTCAGACCTAAATAACCTAAATATGTGGCAATATTGAGTATTTTGAGCAGGATACATGCTGAATATAAAAGTAACACAACGGGTAAGTATTATTTCCATTATCATAACCGGCGTTTAATTCAGTCACTAGGCTTACATTGAGAGTTGGACCTGGGGACGTCAAATGTATGCAACTATACTCCTAGTCTTAAGTAATTCACTTGCCTTGATTGACCTTTTACATCCTGAAATAAGGAATAGAGGATATAGCAAGGGTTTTACATAATCCATTGTTGAACTATGTTCATTTTACAATGGAGATGAAACAAATGACTTAGAGAGAAATCTAATTTTTGATGATTTAGGGATATCTCATAGTTGGAAGATGCACCAGTAAGAGTTGGGAGTAAGGGATCTTAAAAGAGGCCGAGGAAGACCAAAATTGACTTAGACGGGAAAAGTTGAGAAAAACATGAAGTTGGCCGATCCCATCTTTTGGGATTAAGGCTATATGATTGTTGTTGGGTATATTTTAAAAGTTTTGGAATTATAAAATTTTATCAAAAAAAAAAAAAAAAAAAAACTAATTAGCGAATTAGTATTATTATGTAGCGTATTATGACCCCAAAATGTCGTATTACTAAAAACCCTGAAACCTATTATAATACTCCCACCTAGCGTATTGCATATTCATATTTGCTCCCCGTATTAGAGTGTATTACGAATTAGATAACACTGTTAGGAGTATCTGAAATGGCTGGTAGTATATGGACACATCACAGTCTAAAATGAATGCATGCATGTGTAATCTGAGAGTCATCTACAAAAGTCTACATGAAGGAATTGACATCATGGTTCAAGACTTGGGATTTGTGGCTTGAATTTTGGGAAGAGTGTTAATGTGATATATACCTAGGTGGGTGCTAAAGTGTTTTTGCAAGAATGATTATTCATTACTGTTGATTTAGAGTTGAACTGTTAATATGTAATAAAGCAAAGATATGAAGGGGAAAATGAGGTTATGGTGCTATTTTATAGGACAGGCAATGGTCATCAGCAAACAGTTAACAACCTCATCTTTGAGGAGGGTGGGTGTTTTGAGTTGTATTGGAGCTGGAGATAATCAATAGTCTTTAAATTTTATACTTGTATTAAAGCAGAAAGTATATCCCATTCTACATGAAGTTATCAACAGGAGTCTGAGATTTAATGATGGGAGATCTTTTCTATCCTGTTAATTGGGATTTGTTTGTTAATTTTTTAGTAAAAATTTTCCTTCATAGATTATGGTTTTCATGAAAATATAAGTAATGTTATTCTAGAAACAGCTGCTAGAGGGGGCTATATATATATATACACACACACACTACGTATATATATATATATATTGTTTCTATCAAAAAATCATTATAGATATTTTATAAGGTGGTTTTCAACATAGTAAACCTTATTTTATTCACTTCTGATAAATTAGTTTCTCTATGTTCTTAGAGAACATTATGACTAAAACTTATATTTACTGTTTACGTGAAGGATTCTGAACGAAGTCTGATGTGTCCACTTCTGGGAAATGAAGAGAGCCATTAGCAACACCAAAGGCTGGCAGAGCTGTTGCGGTTGATCAACAATTGTGGAGGCAAAATGTATAAGCAGATATATGGAGTCATATATTACTGTGATTCTGTCATGAATAGGTAGCTCAATCGGAGGATGTTCCGAATCTTATTTGTATCAGCGCAGCAATGTTGTACCGTGTATTAGGATACTTCTTTCGTCTGCTAGTTTGAGTGTGGGCTTCTGGGTCAGTTTGGGGTCAGTGCTAGGAAGACTGTAGATTTGAATCAGATGATTGTAATAGATATAAGAGAGCTAGCTGACCTGTTCATTATACCAAGAACTCAGAAAGAGTGTTTTATAATTTCTCATCATAGAATTGTTCTCTTGTTTTCAGTAACTTTTCCCAACTTATACAAAGTATATTATTTGTATTATTTCATATATTTCACAATGGTATCATATATTTCACAATGGTATACCTTCTAACTTTGGTGACCAAAGGGGTTCCATCCTTAGTTCGTCTTCCTCCCTCATTTCTGAATTTTCTCTTGTGATAACTAAATGCTTTCAAAATTGTGATTCCTCAACGATGACTGTAAAATACGGTGCTTGCTTATAGCCAAGTTTTCACTTGTAGGATGTTATAGGTTCTGCAGTCCTGAATAATGTCGGTTGTCACTTTTTACTTATATGTTTATTTGCATATTTATCTCTTGAATCATTAACCTTGTTGGACTTCTTTATTTGGCGAAAAGGAATCGATCAAGGATCTCTTTCCTTGCACAGCACAGGAATCGATCGAGGATCTCTTACCTAGATGGAATCATTAACCTTGCTGGTCTTCTTTATTTGGCAAAATGGAATCAATCGAGGATCTCTTTCCTTGCACAGCACAGGTATGCTTTTCTGCCATTACACCCAGTATTATTTTTCAGTTCTTCTTGGTGAAATTCTTTGGCGCGTACTGTTAATAAAATGACTGCTCACTAGCTATTTTTCTTGTGTATCAGACATGTTGTAATGTGACAACTAGCGCATCCTTCTTGGTATACACGGACATGTCTCTTACCTAGATGGTACCTGTGTACCTATAAAATAAGGTGAACAGTAACTGGTTTATGCTTCCATTCTAACTCTATTGATCAGTGATGATTCTATATTTTTCCTAATCAAAGCCCTTACAGTAGGGAAAACCTGATAAGCTGCCCTTTTTTCTTTTTTGGTTAACTTTTGTGCAAATTTTGTTATAAGCTTATCTCTTATCATATTAATTGATGGTAATTTCTATATAAGATAGTACTGCCATTATATGGAAATGATTTGCAAATTGTATTACTTTCTTATAGTGTAAGTATATATCATGGTTTTATTTGAAGAGCATTTTTTAGTAGTTGGACTATTTATTTTCATCCTCACTAACAGTTGAGTAGGGGCATCTTGAAAAGTCTGATCATAAAGTATTGTTAAGATGGGAAGATGATAATCTTTTTGGACCCCTCCCAACATATATCTACAATTTTAAACAAGCTCCTTCAGAATGAGAAATTTGACCAATTAAGCCCAAGTTTGTCAAGTGACATTCCATTAAACCATTAGCATTAAATAGAGTAATCCACAAACAGCAAAGAAGTCATCATTCATCTTCTCAAAATTATGTGCTCATCTTTTTTCTACAAAGTTAATCATGTGGTTAGTCCTTGTTCAAAGGACTGCTATTAGATATTCTTTGTATTGCATGGTTAGTACTTAGTAGTGAGGATCAGAAGTTTTTCTTTTGGTATGGTTATTGAAAGGCTAAAAACTATCTAATATATTAGTAATCTGTTCATGGATGCTAACAAGACATAATTTTCTAAGTGATTCTTTTTGTCAAGGTTATATCTTATTGTTATCAACTAAGGTTATTTCTTGTGTCATTATATCATATCAAATTATGCTCTTAAGGTATCATATAACTGACTAATTATTGTCTTATTTAAACAAATTATGAGTTAAGTGTGCCCCACCTGTAGGGTAGTTATAATTTAGTTATAACTACTCTCTCTGTCTCTTATTGTTTGCCCCAAACCATAAATCTACTTTATTAAGGCTTTGGGCAAAAATTGGTGCACATGGGTTGACACAAATATCAAAGAGGAGAGAGATAGAGAGAGTGCAAGTAGAAAAACATGCCAAAAGTAGTATGGGGCAATCTTTTAGGGACACCTTAAAAAGGAAAGTGGAGCAAACAATTAGGAACAAAGGGAATAATAAATACATGTTTTCTGATGGTGGGTGGGGTGAGGGGTGAGGAGTGAGGGAAGATGGTTGGTGATTAGGAGTGTTCAAAATATTCAAATAAGCAAAAATATCTAGATTATACTGTGAATGTTTTTAGATTTTATATTTAGAAAAATTTGCAAATTGCAGCCATTTAAAGTTCTTATTTTGCAAATTGCAGCCCGATTCAATTTTTTCATCGATTTACATGTTGAAAAATTTTCGGTTAAGGTTTTAGGGGTCATTTTAGTCCTTAGGGACCCGAATTGAGCTCGGAATTAGCAAAAAAATAACGTAAGTGTCTCATATTTACAGTTTCCCACAAATCGATACAATTTTGTTATGCAAAACGAGATACTTACGTTATTTTTTTGCTAATTCCGAGCTCAATTCGGGCCCTTAAGGGCTAAAATGACCCCTAAAACCTTAACCGAAGATTTTTCAACTTGTAAACCGATGAAAAAAATTGAATTGAGCTGCAATTTACAATTTATACGAACTTTTGGGCTGCAATTTGCAAAAAAAAATTTAAATGGCTGCAATTTGCAAATTTTCCTTATATTTATTCTAGAATATTTTTGACATGGATGACCCCACATATATAATATTTCCCAGCAACTTCGTGAGCTTCTGAAGTCAATAACGACTGCAAAAAACTGTCAATGTTCTAACACACTAAGATACTGCTGATTGCTGAACTCTGTTGATCAGCACACCAGTTGCAGTTGTCTATCTAGCTGGGAACTTCGTCGTCCTTCATGATTTTAGACCGGGAGTTGAAGGAAGCAGCTAGTAGAGGTGATGTGAAGTTCCTTGGAAAATATGTATCAGCTAAACCCACCCACTTCATCCTCGCCTCAGATCATAACGGTGATAACATCTTCCACTTAGCCACTCGTGGCATTATGAGTACACCGTTCATCAGAGAAGCAATTCAGATACTGTCGACTCGAGAGTTGCATAACCTCCTCTCTCAACAAGAAAACTATAGGAAGTGGAACCCTCTTCATTTAGCAGCAATATGGGGTAATTTTGAGTTGCTCCATCTAATGCTTAGCGTTTATAAAAAACCTTCATCCTCGTCATCATCTGGTCTTCATCATGTTGTGGTACAATATCCTCCTGGTGGAAAACCATGGTTAGCACGCGGTAAAGATGGGAGAACTCCATTGCACATGTTCCTTGAATTTAATGAAGAGAAATGTGGATTAGAGATATTGTTAATGGATTTGAATTTGCTGTGTAGTATAGTTGATAATTATGGGAACAGTCCCCTCTTCCTCGCGATATCATATGGGTTCAACAATGTCGCTCTGAATATCTTGAGATCTGACTGCTGTTATAGTCTTAGCGGCCGCCATGGTTTCAACCCCTTCCATGTTGCTTCTAAATGCTCAGGTTAGTGAGTTTTCTTGGAGGCAGCCCCGGTTAATAAGATGCTGATATACAAACTCGTATATCAGCTTTCAAAAACATGGGAAAATTATATGTCAAAAAAATGTATTTCCTCCAGTAATGGTTAATTGCAACAAAGGAATATTTTATATCTCACAAATAATACCCTTTTGTTTCAATTAACCATTAACAGAGGAAGTATTAAGTCTTATTAACTTGAATTTTGCCGATTTTTTAACTTGTCATTTTCATATCATTGTATGGTGTTAACTGTATAGTATGAACGCTTCTTTTTTATTTGAATTATTAGAGCAATGCCAAAAAAAATGGCCGACACTCAAATCTCTATTCACATTCTAATTCCTCACCGTCATTTCCCCTAGATTCATTTTTGGTGGACAAATTTTCACCCTATTTATGGGCAAAATATAAAACTTTCTCACCATTATACTTGTCAATATTCTTCACCAACTAAAATTACTTATTTAAAAAAAATGACATGTAAGATATTTTAAATTTATTTTTAGATTAGTCCATGTATATTTTTCGTTATATGAACCTTCTATACTTCTTATTCATGTATAATTACAAATTATGAATTGTCAATTTGTGCACGTTGTGAATATTGTGAAACAAAGTGTCTACGGAGTTTTAATTTTTTTTTTTTTTTTTTTTTTTTTGCTCACCATCATAGTCATGGGCTTTTTTTTTGCCCATAGTTGACAACGCTCTTAATTTCATTTTATTTTCATAAAAATAAATAAATAAATAAAAATCAGCTTCCACACTGTCTAAGGTTACTTCTATCCTAAATTACTTGGTTTTCTTTTTTGTATTGAAGGGTAAGAATCGTAAGATAGTTACAGCTGAGCTTTTTTCATTCATAGATTTTTTTTTGTAAATCTATTTAAGTGAGTAATATTAATTCCATAAACGGTATCACTTTATAATATTTTTGTTATTTATGTTTAAAATGTTGAACATTGAGTGAACACTTGCACATGAAAAAGACAAACTTACATTCTGTTCCTAATTTTCTACTTGCATATGAAGTAACTTATTATTATCTGTCTGGTGGATTAATACTCCTTGAGTGTATCATACGATGTGAGACATGTGATTACAGAAGAAGTCTGGAGGTTGCTATACAAGAAGCACCCTGAACTCCTACTCCTAGTTGGTGAAGACGGGACCTCAGTGCTCCATGAGTGGGCGAAAGAAGGCAAACTGCGGCTGCTCCTGTTGCTGCAACAGGTTGACACTAGTAGTCTTGAGAAACTGAGCTTGTTAAGAAACGCTGATGGTGATATCCCTCTGCTTGTTGCGGTTAAACATGATAATGAAGAGTTTGCATTATGTCTGGTGGACAAATGTAGGGCTTCAGATGCCACACTATGGCGATATGAGAATAGATGTGAATTTACAGCTCTTGATTTGGCACTGGATAAGGGTTGGGAGAATCTAGTGTTGCATTTCATTTCCAAGGATTCTTGGACTTATAAAGAGCCTATTGGTCGATGGCAGAGGCGGCTCTTAATAGCTGCTGAAAAGCAAATGGGTGAAGTTGTGAACAAAATTTGCAACGCTGCTTTAGAGTTGATTGGTGATGAAAACTTTTCGCAATTTAGTACTTCTACTGAAAATTATGATGGCCGGACTGTCTTCTACATCGTGTCACATTGCACAGGTGAGATTTAGAATTGCATACAGTATATCTTATGCAAGAATTGACTATGCTAGGCTAAGCTAGTACAGGTGTTTTTGTAAATTAAAATGGAAAAAACCAACACAAATACGTAGAATTGTAGATTATAAGTTACCCTTGAAAATTTTAATAGCTACACATCTAAACAATATAAGTAATTCTGATTCCTGAACCAGGTTTATTTTCTAATAGTAATATGAAGTATTATTTGTTTGTGATACCAGAAGAAATTTGGAGGTTGTTGTACAGGAAACATCCAGACATTGTTCATGTTACTGGTGAGAATGGAACCTCAATGCTCCATGAGTGGGCAAAAAGAGGTGAATTGTGGCCGATTCTGTTGCTGGAAGAGGTTGACATGGACTCTTTCCACCAATTAAGCTGTTTAGCAAACGATGATGGTGATATTCCTCTACATATTGCAATTGAACATGATAACGAAGAGTTTGCATTGAGCCTGCTGGAAAAATGTACAATCCGAGATTCTCCACAATGGCGATATGAGAATAAAGATGGAATTATACCTCTTGACTTGGCACTGTATCAGAATTTAGAAAATCTTGTGTTGCATATCATATCAAGGGATTCTTGGATATGTAATGTGCGTAGCAATAGAGGTGAAAGCCGGCTCTTCATCGCCACTGAAAAAGGAATGGATCGAGTTGTGCAAAAGATTTGTGATTATGTTGCTGCAGACTCTACACAGTTAAATACCGTTCCCACTGAAAACCATGATGGCCGGACAATCATGTATGTCCTGTCTAATTGCACAGGTAAGAATCCGAATTGAGAGTACCATTATGTTTTTTTGTATTATGTTTATATATTAACATCTATGTATTCTGTGCAGAAGTAACTGCGAAGTTGTTATTGAAGACATTTCCGCAGCTGATGTACAAACCTGACCAAAATGGCAAAAGGCCTATTGACATAGCATCAGAATTTGGTGCTGGATGGCTTACCAAATTGTTGATTATAAAAGACCCTTCATCAATCGCAATTTCTCCCAATGTTTGGATAGAACTATGCAGGAGAGGCCATTTAGAAGCTATTGAAGCCTTTGTAATGCATTACGACGATTTTAGGCAGCTCTGTATAGAACAAGAAGACTCGCCCTTGCACAACATCAGGCTGACCACTTACCAAGAGTATGAGAAATTTCTAGCTATCCCATTGCTTTGGGAGATGAAAAATAGACGTGATTACGATGGAAAAACACCTTTGCATAAGGCACTTGAACGTGAAGATATACTATTTGCAGAATTACTACTCCATAAAGGTGTCAATCGCAGCATTAGAGACAGAAGGCATAAAACTGCTACAAAATTGCTGGCAGAGCTATGCGACCAATATTATGAATGGGTACACCTAGTTATCTACTTCTTTTTTTATTTACTTCTCTAACTAATACACTTCAATCTCACTTGTTTAGCTCTCATTTTATTGTGTATTGTAATCCCCTGCCTCAATATACACATAAAAATTTACATGTGTTACAATGTTTTTTCACTATAGGAAGAGATGGCTCAACGAGTGGGGATCAATCCTCGGCTTAGGAATTTGGGGTCATCAGCAGGAGAAATGCGAACTACATTGTCCGTTGTGGCAGCCCTTCTAGCAACCCTTACATTTGCTGCAGCATTCACTGTCCCTGGAGGCTTTGACCAAAGCACAGGAGAAATCATCTTAGTAAGGAAGGTATCGTTTTCAGTGTTCATACTCGCAGACACATATGCAATGTGTTGTGCCATGTTCGTATTGTTCTGCCTCATATGGTCTATGGTTTGTGATCAAGATGAATCCCAACTACTAATTGATCGAAGTGTGCTAGTACTCATCCAGTCTTTTTATGGCACGTTGGTGGCGTTTATGACTGGAGTCTACACTGTTGTGCACCACAAGTCCTTGTGGGCTGCTATTCTTATCTGTGTCATGTGCTCGCTCGTAGGAATTTCAACTAACAGGAGTATTTTGTTCAGAGTTTTAGATAAGTTGGACAGAAAAGATGAAGCACGATCAAAGAACAAGGCAGGTTTTCCATTGAAACTTACCTATTATTTAATTATTTTGAGTCTCTTTTAGGAATCGGGTTTAAATACAATTTTATTTCACTATAGGAATACATATATAGTCGAGGGTTTCATGTGGTTAAGTTTGAGTTTCAACTTATTAGTAGATTAAAAGTGTGACATTATTGTATAATGGCGTGAATAAAAATGTGGCCTGTTATTTAAGATTCGTGAAAAGTTACCTTCTGTCTTAGACATTGAATCAGAATAAGTATGTTTTTGAATTAATAAATTTTTTTGAATGCACTTATTCAGATTTGGGAACAGAAGAAGGTCAAGCTCACAAGACGAAAAGGAATTTTCTTTACAAGGGTATGCATTATGTATATCGCCTTTCTTTGTGATTCAGACTATTACTTACTTATCTTTGATTGTAATGGCTTGTATCTTGTGACCATGACCCGATAATGCATGCTATATTTGGTCATTTGCTTAATTATGTCGCTTACTAGATTAAAAATAAACTTGCATCCATATCGTTGTAATTAATTTGTATTAATGTTCTCAAAACTATACAATTTGATTCATGTTATAACTAATGTTCTAGGATCAATGTTCTATACCAAAATCGTGACAATCAGTAGCAACCTGCTATGTTCATTGTTGTTTTGAGCTTTCACAGTTCGCGTATAAGTGATATACATGTTTTTATTGTGTTTGTAGCATGCTGAATTACTTGAGAAATTGTTCTCTCCCACATACTGTTTAATTATTCCAAACTTATTTTCTTTCCAGGGAACCGTTAGGGCAGAGAACTCAACCAGAGGCGACCCTCTTGAAAATGTGTAAATCGTTAGGATTATGTATGAATCCGACCATTTAGGTAAGATAGTTGTTTCCTTTTGCTCATTGTGTAGTGTTATTAGGTTTATTTTCCTAAAGCTTGGCCTTCAAACTTACCTTGTTGCTGACTTGCTGTATACTTTGTATATTGTAAATGTTTCTACTGGATTTTACAAGCTCAATAGCCAATGATTTTATTGAAAGATATTTAACTTGAGCTGTGATTCGCATATGATCACAATGACCTTGCCCATCACAACATTAAAAAAGTTGAGCATGATTATTAACAGTGGAATAAATAATTACGACAAATCGACTATATAAAATAATGATCCAGTGATCGAGCTAATTAATACCACATACTCTAGTACACAACAATATTAGTAGAACCATCACCATGGATAGTTTTGTAAGGTTTCCGGCCAACATAGATAGTAGTTACATGTGATAAAATACCAATCGCTATTACATTGAACCCTAGCACATTCAAGCTGAACCGACTTACTCCAAACTACTTGAGTATATGTCCACAGACCTTGTTAGGGGCACAAGTATTTAAGTATTAGTCATAATTATATTGGCCTTCTCATTCACATACTTGTATGGAAGCTGTGTGGCCGTGCCAGTTAAGGATGCACTACTGCCTGCAGCGATAATTCTCCACCTGAGACCCTGAGTGCTGCATAGCACAACCGGCGATCCTTTGGTTGGCATAGTTTGGGCATAGGTCACCAATGTTGTATTCCATTGTATGTTTCCAACACCCACCGCGGTCCTAGCAGAATTGTGGGAATTGACGTAGTCTTGTAAAAAACCGAAAACTTTTTGCACGGCATCTTTGAGGAGTTAAGCCTCTTACAAGGGATTGAACTTTCACGAAATTTAAAAGGAGGGGACTGCAGTTTTGGAAGTTAAAAGCAAGGGACTATGCCTATAACTCCGGTCAAGGTAACCTCCTAGAACCGGTTTCCATGTATTTTAAGATTAATTTTTTTTTTTTTAATCACTGACAAGTTTTTAAGTGCATTGGAAACAGAAAAAGTTTTGCAAACAAAAGTAGCCGTTATACTAGTATTTAACACAAAGGATTTTCTAGGACATAAACTTAATTTGAAGAACAATAAGCACCGAGTTCTCAAAAAATTTGTTTTTTTTTTCTTCAAACAAGCATCTAAAATCTAGGTTTGTCAAACAACCAAGGGAGCCTTTGTGTGCCTCTGAATTTGATCCTGCTGAAAAGGTTGAGTTGCAGTAAGTAAATTATTGTTTCCATACATGTAGTGATTTATGAGAAGATTAATTATGTGATTTATCTTTCCTAATTGATTCCAAAATAATGTCAAGTAGTAGTGCAAATCCAAGGAGGTGTAATTGTGGGCTACTAGTGTCACGCACCAGGGCATGGACAAAAGACAACCTTGGAAGAAGGTTTCTTGCCTGTCCAGACTACTATGATGCAGACACTGATCGAAGGGGATGCAAATTTTTTAAGTGGGTTGATACATAACCTCCCACATATTGGCAGACTGATGTTATTTTAGGGTTGATGGAGGAGAAGCAGCATTTGAAACAAGAGCTGATTTCAATGAGGAAGGATTTGTATGAAGCAAACAAGTACTCCAGGAAGGTTAATATATGCTGATTACACTCTACTCAAGATGAAAAGGGCTGCTAAGTTTGGGACTAAATTTCAAGTTTGTTTCAATGTTATTGTAATTGTTGTAATTTGCCTATGGTTATATGTTAGGCAATGAATGAACTTAAAAAAAAATAGGTGTAGGTTACCTTATTGCTTCTGTTGTGTTTGTTTTGCCCTTGCGCTAGCTTCTGAAATATGTAGTAGAAGCAGCATTTTGTATCAAAATATAAAATCTGAACTGAATGTACTAAATTAATTTGCAATAATAAACTACCTGCAGTTGTTGTGTTGTAATTGTTGTTGTTTGCTGGCTTTGTTGGCTTAATTGAGGGTAATCATCATCCTGAAATGAGTAGACAGTTTGCTCACCAGCAAAATCTGAGTAATAAGCCCCTTGCACCCTTTGTTGCATATTATGCACAGGTTTTGACTCGGTTCTTGGACTTGAAGTATGTACTCCACCCTGTGCAAGTGATAAAGAGCAAAATATTTGTTACACAATATATTTTCTGCAAGATTGTAATATTTAGAAAAAGAGTTTTAAATTTACAGTTGCAACTCTTTGAAAGTCATTTGGGTAGGTGTAAATTCCTACTCCCCTCATGTGCATTGGTATGTGACTGGTTGTGGTTTCCTGTTCCTGTTGTTGCCTGTTCACTTGTTGGTTGCTTGACTTGTTTATCTTGCATCATTTTTTGTTGTGACCTTGTACACCACATACACTGCAAGTCATCCTTACACTTGTCTTTCTTAGCTTCCCAAATGCTGCAACCTCTCCTACTTGCAGCCTTCTTTTCTTCTTTGGCTTGTGCTGCACTTTCTTCAATTTAGGGAGAACCACAACACTGAGGCCCATTCAAAGGCTCTAACAAGTACTGATAAGCCATTAAATATGTTGTCTTGGTGAAATATTGATTTACATATGGCTCGGGATTATCGCCTTTGTTCCACATTGCTACAATGGCATGCTTACAGGGAATTCCACTAAGTTCCCAAGCCCTACAAGTGCATGTTTTGTTGTCTAAGTTCACCACAAATATTTCCTAAGTTGCTCCTTGTCTAACTCCATAACAACACCCTCCATCCCAGTAACCATTCCATCCCCTAACCCAAATCTTATTCCATTCCAATTTTCGCTGAATTCTAAGGCATAACAGGAGCTGCTTTTTCTGAATTTGATCCCTTTTCTTATGAAGTCTCTCCATCAAACCTTCTCTAATGTCTTCAAGCATTGTAATTATTGGTTTGTGTCTAAAGTTGAGGATATATGCATTATCGAACACCTCACTCATGTTATTATCCACACTGTCACAGCATGAACTTGAACTATAAAAAGCCCTGCACCATTTCTTGTAATTTCTAGCCATCAAATCATCGGCTGCATCATTTGAGATTGCTCTAAGAGTTTCAATGTTTTTAAAAAAACTCATTTTTAGTATTACTTTTGGCTATTTTCCAAAACTGTTTTCTGAGTTCTAACCCACCCCCCATCACACCTCTAAAATTGCAATTAACATGCCTAGCACAGACCCTTGTCTCTACTGAAGGCAACACATTTGCTACTGCTGCAAGGAGTCCCTTTTGTTGATTTGACATCATTGTATACCCAACACCCTCACTAGTCCCAAGGTCATCAGCAAGTAGTTCCAGAAACCAAGTCCATGTCTGAGTACTCTCAACTTCAACCACTGACCAAGCAACTGGGAACATTTTATTGTTCCCATCTCTGCCCACAGCAATTAAAAGTTTCCCTCCAAATGGTTCTTTTAAGAAACAACCATCTAAGGATATGAAGGGTCTGCACCGAGCTAGGAAACCCTTTTTCAAGGAGTCAAAACATATGTAAATTCTCTCAAAACACAACCATTCAGCTTCAATTTGATGGTATTTTCTCTGTTACTTCTCTTGATCTCAGCAGCATACCTATAAAGTAAAGCATAATGTTCTTCATACTCTCCAACTATCAATCTCTGACCAATTTGCCTAGCCTTGAAAGCCTTATACCTGCTCACTTTTAGAACTTTCTCCAACCAAATGGTCTTCATAATGTCATGAAGTTTCATATATGGATTGACCTTAAATTTGTCCTGGAAGGTTTTTGCAATCCATTCTGTTGTCACTCTTTTTATTTTTTGAGGTTCTACCACATGTATGGTCACTGATATGAGTTTTAACCATGAATGATTTGCTACTTTGATCCCATGACCCCCAAATCTTCCAAGGGCACCCTTTATCCTTATTTGCACAGTGACAACCAATCCTTTGTGTCACATTCTTTGAGTACTTAATTTCTCTGCCAAATTCAATTGAGTGAGAGGTGATAGCTTCTCTAAAGGCAACAACACTTTCAAATCTTTTTCCAACATAAAAGGGAGAACTTTTGTGAAACTCTTTCCTAGTTTGTGTCTTTTTATGACTTGATTCAGGTTGCAAAAGATACCCAAAATCATCTTCATCTGATTTTTCATCTGCTGAATAATCAGTATGCATTTCATTGTCACTCCCTTCATCTGAGTCACTGTTATATATGTTCTTATTCTGGTCTTTAGACTCATCTACTCTCTTCAACATCTCTATCTCATCTTCATATG